TGCACCCCTCCTTTTCTCAATAGTGTGCACCCCCCCTTTCTCAAAAAGCTGTATCCACCCCTGTATATTGATCCATAATCAAACACACACAAAACAACCTGTACCACACAAAGAATGTTCAGAGGACATGTTGAGTTGGACATTACGAAGTCCACAAAAACACAACTGGAAAGAATGGGCAGCATACAGCCTTGTCCAAATCCTGTACTGTACAAGGGTGAGTATCTTTATTTGCTAAACGTTATTGGCATGACGAGTGTTAAGGATGTAGATAAACACAACATTCAGGTAACATAATGCCTATATATAACAAATGTTGAAATTTCCTGCTTCCTATAAACACAACAGAGAGGGATGTAAATTAACCTACCTATCCATCTGTCTATCATCCATGCAAACACCAACTTGGGTCCCGATCAAATTTCCCCATACTGGATGTGCATAATACTAGCTAAGCCTTTTGACTTCATCATAATAAATCAGTGTTGTGCCATTGTGACGATCACTGTGGCATTTCAAACTTGTAATCACTCAAGCAGAACATGTTCAGAACACAAATATTTCACGCTTCTCTCGTATCGACTGACCCAAATTACATCCTGATATATGTTATGACCACTGAAGTGATTTCACACAATTGGTTATGGAAATATATTTTCACACAGCTTCAGGACACACATTAAGTCAATGAAATTATTCATACACAATTCTCTTTTCTCTTCCACCTTCCTTTCTTGCCAATTTTGGTGGTTGAACGAAAACAGCATTAGGAGATTTTCTTTATGTTAGCAAAGTGAACAAACATTCAGATACACCTTCGTGACATTCTGACTCGCAATGTCCCCAGAAAATGGCCTGATCTAAAACTGTGAATAGTGTTAATTGATTTGGCTAAATAATAAATTGAATGTAGATATTCTCGATATGGAATAGGACAGCTTGGAGCTGTCACTGAATGACAGAATAACAGCTGTAATGAAATATATGAGCAACTGTATGCAACTTCACATCACAACTACAGTCAGCACTGTTGGCTATATGTGTGAGTAATTAGGGTTTTACACCGCTTTTAGCCACATTCCAGAAATCGGCATCACACATCATACCCCTGTAAGGAACTGAACCTAGGTTTTTGGGATGATAAGTAAACGCTTTAACCACCAAACTACTCCACCGATCTATACGATATATGGAGTATCTTCAATTGATATTCACCATGCTATACTTATTGAGAGGCGGTGGGATAGCCTTGTGGTTAAAGCGTCCGCTCGTCACACCAAAGGCCTGGGTTCGATTCCCCACATGGGTACAATGTGTGAAGCCCAATTCTGGTGTCCCCCGCCATGATATTGCTGGAATATTGCTAAAAGCAGCATAAAACTCAACTCACTCACTTATTGAGACCAATGTTGGACATCTTGAGGAGTCCTAAGGGTACCTAAAGTTTTGGTGCTATTGGTTCTTAATCTATGGCAAAATACATCTAAAATATTTTACAATAGCTTAAAATACAAACACCCTTCATGCTCATGTTCAAGTACAAACAATGACATGTGTTCATGATGTTATATTGTTCATAAAAACATACAAATAAACTCGATACATCGACAAACTATTTGTTCTTCAAACTGTGTTTACAATAAAATATTTTCCTCAAAATATTTAATCAACACAGGCATGTTTAAAACAATATGAACAATATTGTTTCATTTCATTTCCTGTTTTACATCTTGATGTGATTACCTCCCTTACCGATCTGATAAACAATGAATTGCCCATAGTAAATAAGGGCAGTGGACTATTCAGGCTGAAACTAGGTCAGGCCACATTCCGTTGATGAGGAACTAGCACATAAGCAGTCTCTCTCCTTCATTGACAAAAAGTTTTAAGCAAATGTTATGTACTTCAGGATAAAACGCAACAACCAACAAAATATCGAGAATTTTAACAACTACAAAACAAATATGACACGTCATAAAAATCTTGCGAAACAAACAGAAATCAATGTACTTTTTATCAGTTTCCCTGGTGGCCATATTTCAATTACCCATAAGTCCCATAGAAGTTTCGGAAAACTATTAATAATAGAAAGAAAACAGTTATTCAGAATGTTTCAGCAACATAGACCAATTCAGACAAAAACATATAAGTCATTCAAATTCATAATAGATTCAGTAGTTCCGTGTTTTGTTATTCTTTTGCTGTTACCACCTGTGCTAAGCTAATTCACAAGCTCTGTTGAAACCTCATAGAATTAGCACTGTAGACTATACAGGTCATGGTCTTCTTTTCATTTTTGTGACAAATTTTCAAACATATTTTATGAAATTAAACTTCTTGTTGAAAACAAAAAACAATATAGCAGGAATGAGGAAAACATACATGCCTAAATGAACTGTCACAGACAAACATAGATAAAACTAGAAATGCAAGAATTTGCTCTACTTTTACCATGTTTACCCTATTCCCCATTGTCAACTGAACCATTAGACTGACTGACTGAGTTTGGTTTTACGCCGCTTTTAGCAATATTCCAGCAACATCACGGCGGGGGACACCAGAAATGGGCTTCACACATAGTACCCATGTGGGGATTCGAATCCGGGTCTTCAGCGTGACAAGCCAACGCTTTAACCATTAGGCTATCCCCCACCGCCCCTGAACCATTAGAAGAATGAAACCATGAATTGTGCATAATAAGTAACATTTTACAGAGTTACTTGCTGAAAGGCTATTGACCCTGTGTGCCCGACATATTCAGTTGGATAATGAGATATCAAGGTAATAGTGTGAAATTTTAATTAATCTAGAGTATCTGTCATTGCTTCCTCATAAAATGTACACGTCATATTACATTTTTATATTATCTAAACTCCTTAACTAGCGTCTACAATTAAAGATTGGCGTATTTCTGACATCCGTTGACAAGTCATTAAATAGGGCTGGGACGATTCATTGCGATACACTTAAGTTTGATACAGCTTTCGTATCATTGACTGGTGTATCGATACAAAACTATACACAACTTTCTTTCAAAACAGCATTATCTTTAACATGTTACAGCACTTATAGAGAGAAAAACATGCAAGTATGATGGAGTTCCTTGTTTGTTCATTACAATAGTTTTATTGTTAAACACAAATACCTTAAAATAAATCATTTTAAATCTTGATACTGTGTCATTCTTTCAAGGTGTATGTATCACGATACGTATTGTATCGCAGGTACAATATCACAATAGGTATCGTATCGTGACATGGTGTATCATCCCAACCCTATCATCAAATCACCTGTAAACGTATATAACTGACATCATGTGACATTAGTAAACCATTAATGTCCATGTTAAACATTACATGCCATCAATAAATACCAATTCAGGAAAAGTTAAGAGAAGTACAAACTAAATTATCTCATCAAGTACACACTGCTTCATTGTATAGCATCTACATGAATATTATGAAAAAACTGAAAACACAATTATCTGAACACATGCAACTTGTTCAGCTTTGATGCTTCTGGCCAACTTCCAGCTATCATGCAAGAAATCTTCTATATATAGTCTCAGTATATACTTTCCTATTACTGTCCATATTGCTGTCAAAATGCATCACAATTTGAAGCCTCAACAACACATGCCACTGACAATAAAGTTGACAGTTTCTCTACAATGTGTGCTTGTCAATTTGTCCCAAAACCCTTTGATCAAAGGAGAGCTTGTCAACCTGATTGTGTCGACAGATACCGACAGGGCAAGCTGGAAGCGAGTAAAAGCATAATCCACCAGTTTCAGCTGAACAAAATTGCCAGGTTCCAGGTAACCAGGACAGTTGGATTTCCACCAGGATTATGATTTGACCACCTGTGGGACCTGTTTGTCCCAGAAACACAAAATTTGTGCATAACTTTGTTATTTAGATGTAGTAGTGAGTGTGTGAACAAAAGATTATGGTGTTATGTTCCCATTAACAATATTCCAGCAATATCACGGCAGGGCATACCAGAAATGGGCTTCACAGACTGTACCCATGTGGAGAACTGAACTCAAGCTTTCAGTGACAAGCGAACCTCATGATTTTGATCAAAACTACCAACACACACCATCTTTATCAAAAGAACAACTCAGTCAGGGGCAAAAAAAGCCTGGGCTTACATGTGTAATGATTGTTGCTAATAAGGTTGGTCAAGCCCTCAATACTATCTAAATATAAAGCTTTGCAACCTATCGGGGTTAAACGAAAACATTGGCTTGCTACGCGCCTGTCAGTCCACCAACAAAAGTTTCAAAAACAGCTGCTGCAGGGGTGGAAATAACTTTAAAATTGCCAGTGTACTCCGGTACAGTGGCACATGAAAAATCACTTGCCCTGATAATTTTTCCGCTCTACCAGCCGATTTTCTTGGTGATTTTTTAAACAAACAACATAATTAACATTGGAAAGTCAACTGGACACTGGTACAGCGTGATATACAAATGTGCTTGCCCGACAGAAAAAAACACTGGACACGGACGTTAGGCAATGGGTTATTTCCACCCTTGTGATGATGTAAATCATTTCTTTATCAAAATTAAAGCGTTTGAAATTTACATTTGTCTGCTAGTCTGCTAGCCTAAGACTTTCAAATATCTCTGTGACAGTAGTCCTCATTGACAGGCAACATTTGGAGGACATCATTAACAAATTCCCAATGGTCCAATTTCGCAAAAGACGGGAAATGAATAAAACTGAAACAGTGACATCAAACTCTGAGGACAAGTGAAATATGGTAAGGTTTACACTTCTGAAAAAAACCAGAAGTTTCTAAAAATCTACTGCCATCTCATATATGCAGGAAAAAAGTTGCCAAAAAGGTTGTGCACAAAACAATGGTTGTCTTATCCCTCCTGCCTCATCAAAGAACTCTTGCATGTCTCAGGTACTTGCGACCAGACTTTCTATTTCCTGCATCAACCCTGATGGTGTGTATTTGTCCAATCAATCAAGGATGTATGTGATTACCTTTGCGTTGCAGCAGAAGTCGAAGTAGTGGCTTTGCTGTCGTGACTGCCTTGGAGAAGTTGATGTCGTTGTTGATCGGGAGGAGGTCTCCATGGACGGGGTCTGTGTAGTTGATCACAAATGGAATGTCTTCCAACTGATGGAGTTTCTCCACCCGGGACTGAAACTCCTCAAATCCATTAACTGGGTCACGACTCACACAGAATCTCCGAAACTCAGCATCGAACTGAAACAACAGACAAAACAAAGGTTTCCAACTATTCAAGTATCTATAATATATATTTTTACTTGTGTTGTAAATCTGTTCATCTTAATAATGTTGTAAATCTGTTCATCTTAATATATAGTTTTACTAATGTTGTAAATCTAAAAAGTCCTACAAACCCAGACCAGTCATATAAATTGAGGGCCATCCACAAGATCCTTGAAATTTTGAAAATGTTTACAATGGTATATGTATCTAAATCTGGATACCTCATAAAACTTTACCTTGTAACATTAAGGTCATGACAAGGCCTCCTTGACTTGTATGCTACACTTTATTCACTGTAGATCATTACCAATAGAATACATTACTTCAAGTGAGCAACAGTTCTTACGTGAGTCAACTAAAATTAAATACCCCTCTCTCATTAAAGAGCCACAATGAGCAATATTCAATTCATATCATGATCATTGCCTGTAAACTGAAGTAAGTATAGACACGGGTTGATAGCATTAACAGCCATCTATGTCAATCAGGTATGATAACAGATAATCTCCATGATGAGACAGGTCACATGATGACAGAATCTGATCCTCATCAAACTGGCTCTTACAACAAGTATTGATACAGAGATAATTACCATGGTTACATCATGAAACTATCTACTCCTCAGTTGACTCCTACTAAAAGACCTGGGTGCGGAACTATTAGCCAGATCACAGCCATCAATTGGCTCTTATGAGAATGGAGATTGAATTAGTAGCTATTTCACAAATTGAAATCATCTGATTTTCATCAACTGGGTTTCACGATAAGTATGGTGCTTAGACTGACTGACTGAGTTTGGTTTTACGCCGCTTTTAGCAATATTCCAGCAATATCACGGTGGCGGACACCAGAAATGGGCTTCACTCACTGTACCCATGTAAGGATTCGAACCCGGGTCTTCGGCGTGACGAGCCAACGCTTTAACCACTAGACCACCCCAACGCCCCTATGGTGCTTAGAGATGATCACACAATCTCAAACTGAATCTATCTTGTCCTCCTCAATTATCTCTCATGAGAATGGGGTACTGAATCATTAGGCAGGGATTTACATCAGTCCTGTATTTGAAGGACCCTGGGACTCATACTCTTAATTTTCAGGGGTCCTCGACAACAAAATGGGGGTCCCAGACACTTAAATATTATTCTTAATACTGTTATTGTATTGTGTATCATGATCATCACATTGTAACAGTAATGAAATTGCAAATAATACGATAACCCAGCTAGTAGCAAACTCAGTGATAACTTGTCACTTGATTGGAATTTTTACAAGAAGTATTTGGACTTTTTCTGAGTCCCTGTGGATGCTCTAATAAATCTTGTTGCATCCATTGTTAAAAGTTTATGCGTATAGGACGCAGGAATTCGCGTCCTGTACATCCCTGGCTTGGTCACAAACTAACTTCATCTGATCCCCATCAATTGGCTAGCAAGACAAGCATGGAGCATAGAAACGATCACACAGTCACACACTGAACCTATCTGGTGCTAATCAACTTGCTCTTATGATAGAATGAAGTGAATCCCCATCAATCAGCATTCACAACAAGCAGGAATACTGGGTTGATCGCATAATGATGACAAACTGAACTAGTCTAACCTTCATCCATTATCTCCTACAACAACCATATAGAACAAAGGACCTAATAACACACTGTTCCAGAAACTGCAATTCATTTTTTAATGCTAGAATGTAAGTAAAGTGTAGACTGTTTTGAAGAAGATCATTCACTAAGTAGAAAGATCAATCAGGATTACTTTGGACTTGAGGTTATTTGAAATCTTGAAACTCATTAAATTAATTGTATTCCAATTGAGCAATTATTTTGGTGCATGTGTTGATAAAACCTATGTTCAATGTTATTTCAGGGTTCGAAATACCCCATATATTAGGATGCCATGGCACAGTAAATACTGAAATGGCACGGATAAAAAATGTTCTTGTGGTCATTATGACACACATACCTCACCTTTAGTCGTGTAATCCCCAAAACAGAAACACTTACGCAAATGACAAACAAGCAAAAACATTTACTGACTTTATCGCCAAGGAAATCACTGGAATTATGATGGATGATGTCAAGAATTCTGGTTGTTTTTCCATTTAGAGTGATGGGAGTACTGATAGTTTGGTTATTGAAGAGGAAATTGTGTATGTTAGATATATTGAACAAGCAAACCTGTCACAACATTCTTAGCTATTAAAGGTGTTGGGAAAGCAGAACAAATGAAGCTTAAGAAAGCCATCTTAAACAAGACATATCGGTAATAACAGAAAACAGGTTACATTTGTTGTTTACTGACATTACATTTCAAATGATCATCATCATTGCTACAGTCATTGATTCTAAAAACATGTGGGCACACTTGATTTCTGAAAGGCACGTTTAAAATATTTGCCTGGTGCCCTGAGGCACACTTAGAAAAAGAAGTATTTCTATCCCTGTATTTCAATTTGACACTGAGAACATCCACTCATCTTTAACCATGTATATAAATCCCAAACAGTGAATACATCATTACGTTTACGTCTGTGAGTTCAGTTCATTGAGACTATCTGAGGAGAACGACACATGTACCTTCAGATGAACAGTTTTCATCTTAACCAATGAAGAAAGTCTGCTGCTGGAAGTGTTTGACGCTCAACACTCATAACAGACTTCATGAATCAGGTCTGTTGTTGTTTAACACCACACTCAGCAAATATTACACCTCTATGGCATCGATCTGTACATAACTGAACCCAGACAATCCAGTGATTGACATCATAAGCATTGATCTACCAGAGGCCCTGGGAGATAAGCTGCGTATCTGGGTAAAATATGCATATAAAATTTCCAATTACGCATTGAAAAATAATTGTTGCGTACCAAATTACACATTTAAAATGTTAGATATGCAAAAAGTTTAAAACAAATGCGTACGGAATATATTCATAAAAATCGCTTGCGTAATGAAAAAGACATCGACTGCTATCAAGTTGTACTGTTAGTTTAGGACAAGTGCTGTACTGTCCATTTAGGATGAGTGATTTTTTATGAACTCATTTCCATTATATTTAAGTTTGTTTTGATTAGGTATGACATTGTCATAAGGCAGAACATACCTGCTTAGTAAACTTACTCAGTCACATAATACTTAGGTGAGTACAATGACTGAAATATGCACATGTTTGAAAGCAGTGGGTAACGGAAAATGAAATACCCACTCAACATTCATAATACCCACTCCAAACAAATACTTTGGGTACAGTACCCACATGAGCTAAATCTTATCTGGAGCTCTGATCTACACTCATGCTTGAGGTAGATACCTACAATTTACCAGGCAAAAACCTTACACCAGTCCTATTTCCAGGATCTACAAGGTCCCCATTGCCAACCTCATATCATATCACAGATGCCTGGCCAGGGTTCTCTTGAACTATACCCTACACACAATACACAGTCTATATCATATGACACATGTTAAACTTAGATAAAGACATTTACTGTACTAATAATTGAGACAATAATTGACATATATTGATATACTAACTAGTGGTGGTCCGATTAATTGAAATAATCGAAGATTGCTCGCACAGTGACTAAACGACCAAGCAATCGAACATGTTTTCTCGTAATCGAACACGACCGATCTTGGAAAACTTGTTTGCATTAACAATATTTTTCACAAGGATGGTTTTGTCTGTATCATTAAATTTACATTTCATAAGCACTACAAGCTCGTTCCAAGTCATGATTGAATTTATCTTAAAGAATCAAGGAAATATGTGTTCCTAACATACTAATGATCATTTAAATATGCAAAATTTGCAAATGGACTTTATGCAATTTGCAAGAAAACCACATTACTACATGTTTTTTCTTTATTTTTTGTGTGCATTAACAAAAATAACAGGAACATTTGATAAATGATGCTAACCAATTATTTTCGATGATTGATCGGTTGTAATGGACCAATCATCAATTATTAAATTTTAACCAATTCCCAACACTAATACTAACATCATGCATGCAGAATTATCTGAAATAAGGTCTGCTATACTATGCTATTCAATGTTATATTCATTACAGATACCAAATCCCTATCATTAATATGTGTAATGTATATGACATAGACCAGTTTAATGAGAATCTTGTGCTGGGTTGTTAATAACTCAGATACTGGGGATGTTTCAAATATGTTATTCTGACATGTTACCATGGTTATCATTTTACCCAAATTGTTTACAATAGCAATAAAAAAAATTCAATGTATCATTAAGTACTCCAGATCTTGTTTCAATTCCAAATTCAACAAAATACAATCAATACTTCAAGATGTCAGTGCAATGAATGGCCACACACCTTCAAATACCACACTTGAACAATACCACCACCCACCCACCTCCATGTCAAGGTCGCCCTGACCCCCGAGGGCAGAGGCAGACAATGGTGGAGGTAAAGTTATTATCCTTGCCCTGCCCTCTGGGTCTGTACAACACCAGACCACAGAGATTATGGTCATTACACACTCCATAAACACTGGTAATTAATTAGCTCCATACATCACAAGAGCAGGGATCCAAAGGCTGTCTAGACATGTGCACTATCTTCACTACAAGCATGCCCCATGCCAACTACTTACTGGGGTGAAATTTGTTGAGGAGATCAACTATACAGCTCACTTTCAAATGCAAGCATGTGTAACTAATTAAAGTACAGAACTCCAGCTGCTCAATGTGTTGAAATGTCTGCTTGTCTTGACACCACCATTAAGTGAACAAGTGCTATGATCTGTTAAACCTATTTCACCTAAACAAATGGATAAAGTCATTTTAACCCAAATAATATTAATGCCAGGGCTCCAGATAAGGTCCGAATCGGCGTATGTACGGATAAAAAATATGCACGATACGGTAGGAAATAATTTTGAAAACGTAGCAGATACACACGACGACAATGGTCCTAGAATCATTTACAGACGTATGTATCTGAAAAAGTATTGTTTTATTGTTTATTGACCTGTTTACACAAGACTAGCAATGTTGTGGTGCATATATGACACAAAACACAAGGTTACTCATATGCCATTAAATTCCATTCAGTACTCTTAAGCTTTTCCAGTACTCCTATATTGAAAAAATAAGGAGTACGTACTCCTTATGTTGAAAAATTATCTGGAGCCCTGTAATGCAGTTATAACTTTCATTCTTGACAATGTTTGATATAATAACATAGCTGTGGATGTTATCACTTCTTTATTTCTTTATTTGCAATTAAGATGCTTCTATCAAAATGCAGAACATCCAGCAAATTGCCCTGCTTATCGCTTTCAATAAACATTCTGGTTAATTAGATCACTTGCTGCACATGTGACTGTGTCCAGGTGAGATACTTATCAGCTTTCACTAATTGCTCTGCACCTGCTGACTTGCAACTTGATAGAGACATTACTTGGTCAGGATCAGATTACACAGATACTCCCATTCTAAGCGGTAGCAGTTTTATTTAAAATCTGCAAAAACTGCTCATCTAAATTTGAAATTAAGAATCATGTAGCTTAACATCATTCTCAGCATTATTCAAGTGATATGTAACAAAATTGAGTTTGGACTAGACAGTCAAGTTGATTGATATTATGAACATTGATCAACACAATAAAGATATGATCATCTCCATGCAATAAACAATGATTACAGAATCACTCATCAAACTGACAACCTGATTGATTTAGCATGTTACCATGGTTACCATGAAAGTATCCACACTCAGTTGACTCCTACTAAAAGACCTACTCTATTAGCCAGGAATCACCACAGGTGGCTCTTAGGAGGAAAACATACATCAGTAGCTATTCCACAAATTAAATCATCTGATTTTCACCATAACGATAAGTATGGTGCTTAGAGATGATCACACAATCTCAAACTGAATCTATCTTGTCCTGGTCCTCAAATCTCATGAGAAGTCCCTGAATCATTAGGCAGTGATTCACCACAGTCCTGTATTTGAAATCTTGGCTATTACTTAGATATCATTTCTGGTCAACAAAATGAAAATACAAATACATATTGTTCTAAACATTAAAGTAATACATAGATTCCTAATATAAATCGGTCATAATGGGTCTTTCACATTTGATAGGATTTATTATCCTTCAAGCCTTCAGGCTGTGCTGATGTTTACCAAACCACAAAATAACAAACATGTTTACAATCCAAATATCAGAGGATGGGATGTTACCAGACAACTGACATGTTCATGGAAATTTGTTGGAAATTAACCGGCCCAAGTCTTTTCACAGTTCAAAACGCAAAGACAACATTATACCACATATATATAAAGGAGGTTGAGATTGTTGTTACCTGACAATTTGCTGACCTCGAAGCTAAAATGAGCATTCCTGTCAAAACTGACGCCGACTTTCTGTCAGCGGTTTAACAAAGTTAGGAGACATATTCATATATGACTGCCCCACATGCTATGACATAACTGCCGATTCTAACGGAGCCTGAACAGTTGAAAAGATTCAGCACCTGAATATTTGTTGACATGCCGGGGAGGCAGGCATGCGACCGTCCTCCCTTAGGCTTTGGCGACTCGCACCTGTGCAGGTTTTCGTTAGTCCTTACCTTGCTTTTCACTTCTACTCTCCCATTCTCGTATCTGGCACCTGACTTGGTACTTTTCGCCATAATTCAGATGCAAGCCCTACATCAGGGCACTCGTTCCAGTAAATCACCAAGGTTTAATGAAATTCAAGTCCGAAATTCTCCACAAATGACCCAGTTACGATCCAGTAATGCAGTGACTAACCAGCTCGACGTCAGGGAAGGGCTGTCCTACGATATACGATTAACGTTACGACTAATATTATTCCTTAAACTCGCCTTGGACGTCGGTTGTTCTTTATTGCATGATGAGTTCCCCCAATGTGCTTATGATTGGACAACTTCAGCCAGGGAAGGGTCAGGATAGATAGATTGTAAAAGCAATAGTTTCTCGATGCCAATATATTGTTTAATTCTTAAACTCTTATTGAACCGATTGTGCCCCAATAGATGGCTGTGGACGTTATAGCCAGAATTTTCAGATTATGGCGTTTGTATATAAATAATAAAAATGTTCATAATATAATACTTTTGTTTATTTACGCAGTTAAAGATAGTAGATATATATCTGCAATTATTATTTTTCGCCAATGGGGCAATAAAAACAGAAATGGCTTGAACAAAGTCACTGTGTTTATTGATTATTATCTATGTCTTAAATTGGCAGCATAATCAACTATTTTAAAAGCAACATGAAGTCACACTTCTGACTGTATAAGCAGGTATGTACTAGCTTATACGTTGTTAGGCTAATAGTACACACAAAGTCGCTTTCGTAAATTTACGTGGGACGTGACGGAGACTGACGACATTTTCCGAATAACTTGGTTATCCTCAATGCAGTAGTTCGTATGAGTAAATACGCCATTTACCTCTCTTTTGTGAGATGACAGATTAAATATCAACTTTGTATAAAACATTTGAAAATAACTATTACGAATAATTACCATTTGTACATACCACAAACAGAAGTATTACAAGCTGTTGAAAACACCTTCTTGGAGGTGACAGTATTCGACAAGATGGCGGGAAGTTGGAGCTTGAATTCAGTTCGTCAAAATGTTTCGTTTCAAAATGTTCGGTTTCTCCTCGAATAAATCCACCGAACCAACTAACGGGAAATCGTGGATTTTGGACTTTGTTCTTGGGAAAACTTTAAACCCCAAAGGACAAACTGTCAAAGTATGCAGGGTTCGTATTTTCGATTTTTGACTGTGTGGTATCCGAAGAGAAGTGTCAGCTGACAACCTCATTGCATTTCCGTTCAGTTTACTGACTTTTCTAAACTACACGTGCTTCCATGTTATATATGGCATGTACAGGAATCCCCGCCGAAGCTTACAGTAGAGGTATATATACGCCTCAGACTGCCGAGTTTGACTCTTGCATCACCGCTCTCGCACCAGGCATATGCTTCTTCGATCATTCGGGTTATTTGTGTTGGGGCAGATTACGCCAATCTCTGTCATTTTCCCTTGGATACGATTATTAGTAAGGTTGGGTACTCCTTTCAAATCTAACAGGGAAATTTTGGTAGCAGGAATATATTGCTTAAAGGCACAATGCCACATTTTCGACAGTATTTTGGCCTATTTTTTATATATTTGGGGCATTAGCACTCACTTTAACTTCCAACTGATGCAATAAAAGACATATTATCCCTTACACCTAGCCTGAAATCGATAATTGAAACTTCGAGGGAAACAGCTTCCAAACAGATAACACTTGCCATATATGGAGGGTTATAGCTAAAACGGAACCACGCCAAAACGGTACTAACCAAAACGGAATCAAATTGGCGGAAACGGAACCTTGACTTGGCGAAAACGGAACCTTGACTTGGCGAAAACGGAACCATAAAAAAATTATCAATTAAATATTAGCTCTAAATTAAACGTATAAATAAAACTTTATGTTGCCTATGTATAATATTGGCAACGTTGTATAATAACTAAGTGCTCAACGATAATGATTTAAAATGGATACTTCCTGTTGACATGGTTGACTCTTCCATCCACATCTATCGGCTGACCAAATAAACTTGTCTCTTCTCAAAACATTAAGAACTTGTTGTTTTTAATGCAGTTATTAGTTAATTCTTGGTACTTAATGCACAGGCTACAAGTATAAACAAGTTACTTATCAAAACATTTTATAAACACTAGTTAACGAACACGCCACATGCATATTATTCCAAAGAAAACAGCGGCGTCTTTGATGGGTTGACAAGCTTCATTAAAACAACAACTCATGACTGCTCTGTTACAACTCAATGTCATGATACATCCAATATATGGAATGTCAATGATTAGTCTGGTGGGATGGGTACAGCGTTCAAGTCCCATGGAAGTTTTGTGATGAAAGCAAGACATTGTGTTTTGTGTATTCATCAGACATGCTAGTTAAATAAAAAGTTTGGTTCCAAGTTGAAATATGGTGCAAATAGTACTTTTGAGCACTGTACAAAATGGTTGTGAACAGGTTGCTAAAAGGTCAGGTCATAATGGGAGAGTTGAGTATTTAAAGTTTAAGGTTCATCCAAGTGTGTTTCTCTATTTCATGAAATATTTTATTAAAAATTAAATATTGTAATCTAAATAATTGTTTTTGGAATAAATTATATCGTTAGTATTATTCACCCGGTTCGGTACCACATGGAGATTAAACATCCCCTTACAATCTTAAGGGCTGGTTGTGAGAAATGTTATGGTTATCCAACACAATTTGAGGAAACTCCAAACAATTTCAGGAGGTTTCGATAAAGAATAAATTGGTACTGCACATGCAGAGCAAGGTTCAAAGCAGAGCAGTTCTGTGCACTTCCTGGGCTATCCTATTACCTAAAAAGGGGTGATGAGTATTGGGATGTGGAAGTTTTGGGATATAACAAGGTAAACAACTGGGTGGTGATGAACAAGTACAAGTTACTTGTGATAACACACAGGGTCCTTTGGTAGGGTATTGGCTACTTGGATTAAGCTATTAGGCAAGTGATGATAGGAAGTGGAGCTTTTATTGCTCTTAATGCTATCTCAAGGACTGTTAAACTCTATTTTGGTGTATGAATGAACAAAACACTAAGGTATTTGCATTCATTGAAAACTTTCATCATAATCTGATGGAGAATTGCAGAGGGCCTTTTGTGCAGAAGACTGACATCAAGTTTTGTGCAGGCTGGAAGTATCCACTATCCAGGAATAAGTATGAGCAGGAATGGAACAAAGTAGAGTTAGATGAGATGCTAGTGAAACAGCTGGGTGATTGGTTTACAGAGTCGATTGTTCAAATGTCTTTGGCCACTGTGATGCTGGGTGAGTGAGTGAGTTTGGTTTCACGCCACTTGTAGCAATATTCCAGCAATATCACATTATCACGGAGGGGGACACCAGAAATGGGCTTCACACATTGTACCCATGTGGGGAATCCGGGTCTTCGGCATGACAAGCGAACGCTTTAACCACTAGACTACCCCACCACCCCATCATACTGGGTAAGACACTTCCGACAATGTAACCATTGGCTCTCTGTTTCCAGCACATCAATGGACCCCAGGATGATGGAAGCGTGGTGAAGCAAGTGTCCGACTGTTCTGTCTTCATCAATGCTGTTTTTACACAAAACGCCATTGACAACTATAACTTTGAGTGAGTTTCTATGATCACTTGTTTTACTCTTAATGAGAATTGTCATTGAATATTTTTCATGTAACAAATATGAGATCTTCAAAAAAGACTTACAGATACATGAAATATACACAACAAAACACATTTGACTAATTATGTCCTTATAATGGACGTCCATCTTAGAATATGTAAAGTAATTGTAGAAACCATGAAATGATACAATGCCAGGGAGCTCTATCCAATCATCAAGATTAAACAGCATCAACTGATATGCTGTCTTTGGTTGGTTGATTGGCTACGCAGAGCTACAGAGATGTAACAATGCAGTGAGTCTGCAATACGATACATATCCAAATATATAATACAGTGTGTATCCCCAGGAAGTCCAACAAGACCTGTGGCAACAAATTGTCTATCATTTCCTGATGCTGTGTTACCATTGTACAGAGCTACAGATAACTTTTTTGGTCACTGAGATATGTACTCGCTTGTGTTCATCTCAACATTAGGTATCCTACCTTTCATTTGAGTAACCAAATAAATTGTACCCACCTCAGTAAACTCAATTGGGTATTGTCATTTTCCATTAATTGTAAAAATATAATGACGTTTAACTATTATTTATATTGGATCTGTAATATGAGAAACTATAACAAAGACTGCAAGTTGCCAAGTTCATGTGTTGAAATAGAACCTCTGAATGTACCTCAGTTCTTTTATCTATGCACCGATTCGCAAACAAAGATTTGACATTTTTGTGTGTACGCATGTAAGATCAAATATATTGAGTATTTACAAAAATTCAAGCGTACTTGTACGCAACAGACTTGGTAAGAAGTTTTCACATAAATGTTTTGCGTAATTTACATGAGATACACAGCTTATCTGTATCTGTACAACACCAGCAATATTCAGCTGTCACGGCGGCAGTCTGTAAATAATCAAGTCTGGACCATCGATCAACACAATTGAGATTAATGACCACCTGACCATGCCGTTCGACAAGTATGGGTTGCTGAAGACCAATTCTAACCAGGATCTTTAGGGTAGATTTGCTGTCATGTTTGTTTGCAGAGTATTCTACTTAACTTAACAAGTTCTTCCTGCTGGATGTCATCATTTGCTCATGCCATCAACCACTGGTTTGTCTGGCCCAGACTCAGTTATGAAAAATCATATGGCTGGAATATTGCAGCTGTGATGAAAAACAGAATTCATAAGATCATGCATGTTCCGTCTTTGTGAAAACAAAATTGTGGTTGTCTTTATATTAAAGTTCTATATTTTCCATTTTTTCCATCTTTCAAAGTGATGAGTCTTGCACACCTCCAGAATGGGATCAAGCCATTTTGATTGTCAAGGATTATCATCTCAAGTTTGTGTCAGCTCCAAATGTTGTGAGTATATAACTATTCACTTCACAACTGGTTAAGGGGAGACAACTTGTTACCAAGGCCCAAACCAAATGCAACTGTGCTATAGGCTCAAAACCTCAACCTGAATATTATGTCATAGTTATAGTTTGATCCGACATATGTTTAGTTTGATCTGAAATATGTTCACTATTATGCCAGAAAACTTGATTGATGAAACATGTTAAAACTCATCCTTATCAGATGAGGAATATCCGAAATATATATTCAGGTGATATGATTTGACTACAATGAAATTTAATGGGGGATACGGGCGGAAGTCTTTCCGATACCATGCCGCAGTTAAGCATGCATACCCCACTCAGACACATTATAAGAACTCTGAGCTGACTGGGCTGGAGATCGAACCCGCGACCTTCCGCTCTCCGGGTGGACGCTCCAACCACTACACCTCAGTGGCGGTCGTTTCACCTTGATATATGTAGATATATTGTGAATTGTGTAAGGCCAACTACAAATATTATGTTCTCGGCTGTGTCAGTTGATAGTGTGTGGACATCCCATCACTGGTCATGTCGGAATGACCTTTCAATGCATCAATCAGACGGAAAAGTAAAAATACATGGTTGTTTATTTCAGCACCCCTGATTTTGTGGATTCAATTTAGTTCATGTTAGAGATTCAAGTAAAAATAAAAATCCCTACCTTTTGTGATAGTCCCTGCCTTTTGTGATAATCAGGTACAAATGTTTTCTATATATTTTTTCAGACCGACTGTGAATTTCTGCTCGTCATCGGCAAGTTTTCGCTGCTAGATGTTCATGATGGGTTTTACAGCAAGAACACAGCTAGAGATTGGTAAATGTCAACAACCACACAGTCTTGTTTACATGGCGACATTCTTGAAAATATGTTGTCCTATGTCAGTGAGCCAGTCGTATAAGGTGCCACAGTTCACTTGCAGAGTTTCCTCCCTTGCCAGAAACCAATGGCTGGATTTGAGTCCTGGGTCATATGTTTCTTGATCGATCAAACTCATTCATTCAAAGAAATGATAGTTACGGGATCAGTTATGTTTTTGTTGCTGTAGATGTGATTTTAATTGTCCTGCCATCTTTTACTGAAAGACCTTTCATGACAAATACAATATTTACATTGTATTCCAACTAAGGTTAATTCCAGTTGGCTACGATTGAATGACACTAAGTTTTCGTTGTTATCTTTGATATAGATAGTGAACCACATGGACCTTGTTAAAGAGCATGGTTCTAACCAATTTAACGCCAGCAGAGTGAGTGAGTTTAGTTTTACGTCGCACTCAGCAATATTCCAGCTATATGGCACCGGTCTGTAAATAATCGAGTCGGGATCAGACAATCCAGTGATCAACAGCATGAGCATCGATGACATGTGTCAACCAAGTCAGCGAGCCTGACCACCCGGTCCCGTTAGTCGCCGCTTACGACAAGCATAGTCGCCTTTTGTGGTAAGCATGGGTTGCTGAAGACCTATTCTACCCCGGATCTTCACGGGTCAACGCCAGCTGAGAAGTTTGTGTAAAGTGGTATAGACGTTCATAATCAAGTTGGCTTATGCAATGCACACTTATAACGCATGCTCCTTTAAGAACATCCTCGATAATCTCCAGGGTATACGTTACGATCACTCCCCACTATACCCTGGATGCATCCACGGCTTGGCCCGATGATTTTATTACCTCCCTTGGCTGGCTTTTTATCCAATCAGGTGTCTACGCTGGGAAGTTGAGCGAACCAATCACAACTCACTTTTGCTTCTTAAATTATCTAACCATTTAAAATTGGCAACACAATTGATGCAGATGTACTCTGAAAGAGGTAGAAGGAGTTCTTTTAGATATTTTTTGAAAGTTTCAGATCTGTCAATTTGTCTGTATTATTACCTCAAAAATCTGAGTGGCATTGCGAACAAACCCTTGTTGCGACCACTATCTTTGTTGACACTGGCAAGCTCGGATGTAACGGTGGCTTAGCTGATTGGCTACTGTGAGAATGTGGAGCCAGCAAAGGGAGGTAATATAATTATCGGGCCAAGCCATGGATGCATCCAGGGTATAGTGGAGAGTGATCGTAACGTATACCCAGGAGATTATCGAGGATGCTTTAAGAACAGAGGTCACAAGTATTTTGACATTCATGCAACCAGAAATGCATGACAGGAATGGAAATATATTTGGTTTTAAGTGTGCTAGAATTTTCAAGAAAGTATATTTATCGCTGGCATTAATAAAGAACACTGTCACAAGACATTGTTGTTCTGAAGAAAGAAATGTCTAAATTTAACCTATAACACTCGGAACAGTTTCATCCATGCCATTACCATGGTAACGATGAATTTGGCAAGTACAAGGAATAGGCATTTGAAGAATTATTTCTTCAGCAACCTATGCTTGTTACTAGTGGTGTTCCGATTAATTGAAATAATCGAAGATTGGTCGAAGTGACCAAACAACCAAGCAATCGCATCACATTTTCTTATAATCGAACACAAACGATTTTGGAACTGCTGTTTTAGTGTTTGAAACACTTGATGATGGAACATATCTTTGAAGTTGGCAGGGCCTGAAAACTTGTTTAATTCTTAGAAAACTCACTTCACTAACTGAAAAGTCATGACTGAATATTTCTTGAAGACTCCAGAAAGTTTATGTTCATGATATATTACACATTACTTCAAAGTAGCAAGTTGCATCATGTTATACATATCTACAATAACAACCTTGGTAGGAAAATCTGAAAAATGTCGCTTACCAATTTTTTTCGATGATTGCTCGTTGGTAATGAAGCAATCATCAATTATGAGATTTCAACCAATTCCCAACACTACTTGTTACCAGAGGCAACTAATGGGATCAGATGGTCTGGATCACTGACTTGGTTGGTGTATGGTCACAATATGGCTGAAATATTGCCGATGTGACTACAAAACGTAAATCTCTCACTCATTGTTGATGCATGTCAACTTATCACAATTGAACAATGCTCAGAGTGTTAACACACGATCCAGGCTTGATTATCTGAAGACCACCATCTTTAGCTGGAAAATTGTAGATTGCAGTGTTAAATAACAAGCAAACAAGGAATAATGTTTTTAAACATATCTTATTTTCATCAGCATGGTGGATCCACAAGTGCAGGTGGCAGTCAAAGAAAAGTGGACCCAATGGATGTAAGTTGTATACCGTGACTTTGCCATGTTTAGTGGGGCAAGTGAAGTACAGATCTAGGCATATTGTTTCGATCATGATACAAGCAGACACATCTGTAGTCCTGTTGGTAGGAATATGAGAAAAGGATGGAAATCCACACAAAATGATCCAAGATGGCTGCCACAGTGTATGTTGGTCACGATGTATGAAGCATGTATCAGGGCTCCAGATAATTTTTCAACATCAGGAGTACGTACTCCTTATTTTTTCAATATAGGAGTACTGGAGTACATTTAGAGTACTGAATGGAAAATAATGGCGTATCAGTAATCTTGTGTTTTGTTTTATATATGCACAACAACATTGCTACTCTTGTGTAAACAGGTCAATAAACAAAAAAAACAATACTTTTTCAGATAAATACGTCTGTAAATGATTTTAAGACCATACACCATTGCTGTGGTGCATATCTACTACGTTTTCTAAATTATTTCCTACCGTATCATGCATATTTTCTATCCGTACATACGCCAATACGTCCCTTATCTGGAGCCCTGATGTATTTCTGACTCAGCATTTCATAGATAACCAAATTTGGAAGTCATGACATCACAGTGACTGGTGACATCACCAGTGGCCTGGATTAAGGACATTGGTACTGTGTATATTTCACAGAAAGTCTGTAATTCTCAGGAAAATTCAACTAACTCATTATTAAGTGCAGTCAGTTTATTAATGATGTCTTTGCTTAGATTTATCAGGGTTTTGGGGTATTGGGTAGAGTTTTTATCAATTACTCACTGATGATGGATGTTCGAGACTGTCATATTACAGGGCTGAAACTAAAAGCTTGGAGTCCTACAACGATGAATCACAGTACACAGGCACCTGTCACCTGAGTCAGTTGCTGGAGGAGATCGGACAGCCAGACACACAGAACCACTCTCAGACAGAGGCGAGCTTCCACCTCAGCAGCTCTGATGACAGGACAAGTAGGCCAGGTAAGACCAGTTCCATTAGTTAGTCAGAGGTTTCAAACATTTACATCATGCTCATTTAATAATCATAATAACGTCATGGTATGTCAGCTTACGTCGAAAGTGGTGATATTTGAAAGAAACACAAAAGTATATCCAGATCATTTTGCACAAACCCTCGTTACATAATTCTTGGCTGAAGTACTAGTGGCCCAGTTCGTTAAGATGCTGCAGTTTGCTTTGGTGAGTTTGGTCCTTTGGGTTTGCAAGAAACATTTTATCACATGAATCCCAGTTCAACAATCATTATTTTCTTGACTTCTTTGAGTGGCATTTCTAGAAGTGAGAGAGTCAGATAAGGACAAACTTTATGGAAGAACAACTTCTTTATTCAGGTGATGTGATGTTTCAATGCAGATTCTTGTATCATTGACATACTTACTAGGGGTGAAACTGTATGTAGCGGTATTACTGGCAAACAAGGATAAGTTGGACCAGCGCAGAGAACATGTTTACGAGAAGAAGGCGGTGCACAGTAATGAGCAAACCCATTTGCTTTGTTAAAGGTAGAGCAGATGTAGGCTAGTGCATATGCGTTGCATGACGATGAAATTGATTCCGCGCGTAGCTGCAAACGCCTTGCTCATAAGACTCTCACATTGGTGTAGCAAGTCGCACAACACTTGATCACGGACAACCTGGGGCCCCCTCGCTAACAAGGGCAAGCGTCAGTGGGGGGCACTCATACATGCTAATACGGTCAATTGTCAGGTCGGTGCTCAACTTATCCTTGTTTGCCAGTAGTAGAATTGAGGTATTTTGCCTTCGGTTCGGTATACCGTCATGCAATACAAAATTCGGTGTTTTCGTACCATCATTTTCTGAACCTTTTTTAAAAACTCTAAAACGTCTAGAAATCGAATCATTTTGTCAAAATCTATGCATTTCTTTGCTAGATGTCAATTTTTTGTATTATGATCATATCCCATATAACGAACTCAAGGCCTTCAAAATTCTACTGGAATGCGTATCATACTGTGGTAAGAGCGTACTGTTTCACTCCTATTACCTGTTTGACAAGAACAAGAATCTGTATCGAAAGAGCACATCACCTGAATAAAGCATTTGTTTATCCATAAGTTTGCCCTCTTCATTTTCTTGGTTTGTCAGCTCAACCCATGCTTGTGGGTTGCACCACATTGGCAAACCAAAACATGTCTGACCTGCATCATTTCTGGCTACCTTTCACATAATAATTCGGTACACCTACAGAATACCAGATACCTACCAGCCATATTTTTTAGTGTCCTGTCACCCGAACGCTATTCCTTACCCTAAACCTTACCCTAAACCTAAACCTACCGCTAACCCTAAAGCTTACCCTAACCCTAACCCTAACCCTAAACCTTTATCCTAAACCTAACCCTAAAGCTAACCTTAACCCTAACCCTAAACCTAAACCTTACCCTAACCCCAAGTAAACTCGCTTGCTTTCAAAGATGGTGGAAGGTATCCAGTATTCTGTAGTCTTACTTAATTATTCTTAAGATTTTGTATGGCATGGATTGGCAAACCTGATTCCCATTGAACAAAGCGACTTCAGGTCTGAGACTCTTGTAAACCTATGTTAAATTATGGGTATTATGATCACCTTTCCACTTTGTGTAACTGGACCCTGGTCTGTATTACAGAAGCTGGACCAAGCAAACCGTTGCCTGCAAGAGGTCAACCCAGTGAGGCTATGGCGTCAGCCTTGGCAAAGATGAAACAGCCAACTCGGGTTGAAGACTTGATTGTCTCCCCTGAAGAGCTGGCGATCCTAGAGGCACTTGAAGGTATGGACAGATAACTCTCTTTAACGTTCAAGATTCAGACACAACCATTTGGTTCCTTATTAGCCAAGTGTGTTGCTGGTATTGCAGTTCTTCAGGAAAGGCCCCAATCTGTTCTCCTTGTAATTTTAAGGCAGTCAAGTTCTGTGACTTGGTTTATTTGTGTAAGGCTGAACCTGATGGCATGGACCATTGCTCATAATATCGATCACTGATTTTTATTGGTCCATGCTCGATATTTGTAGTGGCCATAATATGGCTGGAATAGTGATGGTTGCAAACTTAAACAATAAATAATCAACTAAAGCTTTGGTTCTGTGTGTAGGTAGGTCCATTCAGGGGATTCAAGGAAAGATTGTTTTATGTATCTTGTAGCTTTTTAGTTTTTGGTGATACTGCGGAGATGTTCACATGAATAACTGGGTTGATGCTGCAGATTTGAATGTATGTTGTATTGGTTCTACCTCATTACTAACATTCTTAGGTTCAGTTTTCGGGGCCGTAGGGTAGCCTAGTGGTTAAAGCGTTTGCTCGTCACGCCGAAGACCCGGGTTTGATTCCCCACATGGGCATAATGTGTGAAGCCCATTTCTGGTGTCCCCCGCCGTGGTATTGCTGGAATATTGCTAAAAGCGGTGTAAAACTAAACTCAGTCAGTCAGGTTCAGTTTTCCTTGTTTTGCCAGAATGGAAAGAAGACTACCATCCCCCACCTTCCCAGGATACAAGTAGTTCCAGCTCCTCCAGACCAAGCTTCTCACAACCCACTCTGGCGGAGTCTCCAAGGAAGAGGGACCACACTGGTGCATGTAAAAATTCTGGCAAAACACAAGACAAGAATAAACTCCCCCAGCCAGGAACGTCAAAGCTTACCACTAAACCAGTTCATAAAACTAGTCAGAGTACATCGAGACAAGATGTTTCATCAGATGAAAATAGGCTCACAGACAGTCAGATTAAGGCCAGAGAAGCTTCTTTCAGTCAAAGTGACAAAGGAAATGTTGATGCAGAGTGTCACCAATATAGCAACAAAAGAGCAGACGGTCAAGAAACTTCCACATCCAAAGAAGATATAATCCTTTCACCAAATAGTTCAACAAATGCAAGACCTGGATGCTTCTCTGTCAAGGGGATAAGTATGTACAACGAAAGTCAACAAGATAAGACACCTGAAGGTCAAGGAAAGTCAAGGACAAAAGATCCACCCGTCAAGCAAGTGATGCAGGAGACTAACACTGTGTATCGATCACCGCAAACATTTACAGATGAATACCTTAAGTTTTTGGATTCATCTAACAAATCCAAGATGGCTGATAGAAGCAATTCATCTAACAAATCCAAGATGGCTGATAGAAGCAATTCATCTAACAAATCCAAGATGGCTGATAGAAGCGATTCATCTGACAAATCCAAGATGGTTGATAGAAGCGATTCATCTAACAAATACAAGATGGCTGATAGAAGCGATTCATCTAACAAATACAAGATGGCTGATAGAAGCGATTCATCTGACAAATCCAAGATGGCTGATGAAAATGATATCTGTGTCATTGATGTTGTCACCTTATGCAGTCTGCCAACAGTAAGAGAGATCCAACTTTCACATTTGCACATTACCATGACTACAATGACATTTTCAGGTGCCAGTCAGTAGCATTTGTAAGTTATCTTAACCCGAAATCTTTGAAACTAAACAGAAGCACATGAATAATAGGACACAGGTTTGCCCTGTAGGTTTTGTCGTAACTTATTGTGCAGTTATGTCCCTTTTCTACCAGGACACTCCTGAAGATCTGGGTTAGATTTGGTCTTCAGCAACCCATGCTTGCTGTAAGAGGCAACTAACTGAATCGGGTGGTCAGGCTTGCTGACTTGGTTGACACATGTCATTGTATCCCACCTGCGTAGATCGATGCTCATGATGTTGATCACTGGATTGGCTGGTCCAGACTCGATTATTTACAGACCGCCGCCATATAGCTGGAATATTGCTGAGTGCAGCGTTAAACAACAATTCTGTATCCTTGTTGTGTCACCAAATTATTCCACGTTTGTGGCATTTTGTTTTTATGACAAAGCTGACATACCATCATAAATACATTTTACTTATTAATTCTGTCATGTATATTCTTCCAGGCCTGGCACAAGCCCTGTGCAGACTCACTGGAGTTTTCTTGTTCCCTCCCAGAAGATTCTCAGAACTCTCAAGACTCACAGATTTTGATGAGCTCACAAGGCTGTCAAATCTCGGACATGTCACAAACTTCTGAGACAGGTGCACAAGCTGACACAGAACTTGAAGCAGTAGACAATAACGTGTCACTCATCTCTGATCATACAGCAAACAAGCCGGAGTCAAACAGGTCTGGGAAATTGTCTGCTTCATCGAGGATGGATTTGATATCAGAAGATTGTCAGTCTGAGATACAGGCCAGACAGACAGAATTTGTTGTCCGAGGAAGAAGTAGACAGCCTGGTACAAGACGAGTCTCCTTTGCCCCGTCTGCTGTGATGAAATGTACCTCAGTAGATCTTGACAAGATTGGTTCCACGCAACCCTTTGATGTGGTGAATGACTCCACATATTCCATGTATGAAGATGCCAAATCTCACCTGTCCAACCCAGACTTTCCACGTCAATCATCAAGTCATCTTGAATTCCCCGAATCCCAGCCATTTGTGCCTTCCAGTCAGGACTTGTTGAGCTCGGATTCTGTGGAGGAAACGAGAAAAAGCAGCAGCAGTGATCAAAGTTCAAGAAAGGACTGTACTGACGATTGTGATTCGGTTGAACATCTGACTGAAGCTCACTCAACGGGATACAGTGACTCAGTTATAAATGATACTTCCTTCCATCACTCCACTCAGACGTCTGGCGCTACGAGAAAGTCATCACCAGACTTTCTCATTTCGCCAATTAGAAGAGTCACAAGAAATGGTAGAGCTGACAAAGCTGACGATGGTGATGAATCAGGTAATGACAGTGTGTATGGCAGTGCGCTATATCTGCCTGAAAGTCAGCACTCTTCAGCTGCTGTTGAGTGTGTGGTCAAAGAAGTAGACAGTCAGAAACGTTCAGCTGTTGACAAAGCTGAATCCCAGCGTTCAGCTGTAAGGCAACAATCGGTGGACAAAGGTGCATCACGACATTCAACTGTAAATGGAAAACCAGAAGACAAAGCTGCATCCCTACCTAAGTCACCTGCTCTTGATCATCCCAGTTTTGATGAATCTGATTCTTTGGAACGTATTCCTCTGTCACATGGACTGTGTAAAGATGGTGTTGTGGAAACAGTGCAGAACTTGAGTACCCCTGAGACTGATGCAGAAACCTCCACCACAATGGTTCTCACAAGATCAAAACGCAAAAAGAACTTCCTTGATTCTGGTCAGAAAAAGTCAGCTCATGAGACCTCCTTGGATAAAAACAGAAGAAATCCTGTCACAAATTCAAAGGGAAACATGACCGATAAAACAGTTCAAGTACCTACACTTGACAAGCAGAATCAATCTGCGAAGGAAACGGACAAAGATCAATCAGACATAAAATCTGACTCTGAAATTATTATTGAGGAATACTCTACTGATTCAGATATGAGCAAGCAAAATGCACAAGACCAAAGCCAAAAAGATTCATTGAAAAGTGGTGGAGATAAGAGTGCACCAGGTGGTGAAACTGTCGGAGCAGACGTCAGCATCAACATGGATGTGGACAGTGGCCAGAAAGCTGGACCTTCATGCACAGAAGGTAATGATTCTGAGGACAATAGTGTCATCCTTGTGTCAGATGAGGATGAGGAACATTCAGAGGAGATAGAAGAGGCAGCAGAGCCAAGATCTGGCAAAGAACTGACTGCCTCAAAGAGTGGGAAGAGGGGTTCACAGAAACCCTCCAACAAGCATCCAGGCAGTCCAGGATGCCATAAGATAATGGAAAAATATATCACTACAAGAAGAACCCGGTCTTCAAAACAAGATGATGATGCAGACAGTTTGGCACCGCTGAAGCTGAGGAGCTCCAGACTTGTTAGTCCAGGTCCCGAGGGAGATGCATCAAGTCAGGCCAAGATATCGCCAAAATGTACCCTAAACAATTTGGACAAGGGAACAGCGACACATGGACCCAAGAAGTCTGTTACTGATGCTGGCAAGAAGGGTAAGAAGAGGAGTAAATGTCAGCTTCATGAAATTCCTGAGACTCAAGGAGAAGAAAAACAAGGACCAGACCATAGTCAGGTGCAGAACAAAGTAATTGAGGAGGAGGATGCAGAGAAGAATCCAAGCAAGAGGAAGAAAAGGAGGGAAGTTGAAATAATGTTTGAAAAAGCAGTTGAGAAGTATGGTTTGATTGGAAATGTGTCCAAAGGATGGCAAGCTGAAAGATGTTATGGCAAACCCCAGGAAAGTCTCAGCAGAGCTAACAAAAAGGATGAAGAAACGTGGTCTCAGGTGTTGTGTGAGGCTGAGGATGGAACTAGAGGTGCAGCACAGGAGGAACTTAGGGGTGGTGCTCACAAGATTCATCAGTCACAAGTAAGAGAGTCTCTTCCTGAGGGACACAAAGACATGCATGCTGATGGTGGAACTGGAGGTGAGAAAAAGGGTGTATCTGGAGAGGGTCTTCCCAAGCTGCATCAGTCACAAGTGAGAAAGACTCATCCTGATAAGGGGAAAAAACACATGCATGCTGTGTGTGAAACAAGTCAGGATCATGTTGAGGAGTGTGATTTTCTTGAGATAGCTGACCAGCTCGACATTGAAAATATTCCAGTACATTCACAGGACACAAGGGATTCTAAGCTGAGGAAGAGAGCACCTGCTGAACATGGAAGGAGGCAGATGAAAGGTATTATGCCAGCACCATACTGTAGAGGTGAGCAGGCGAACTGTACGGCATGTACATAAAGATGGTAAACTTTAAGAAAATCTATGGCTTACTGGGTAATGCTTGTTGATGACAAGTTTTCAGCTAATGAAAGTAATTTGGTTCCTAGCTAAAGTATGAAAAATTAACTTACGGGTAGAAAATTTGATATTTGCCTTTTTGTGATTCTTTGAGCTGATTGGTCAGTTCAAGTGGTATTGTGTCTTTGTTAGGAGGGGCGATGGGGTAGCCTAATGGTTATAAGCATCCATTCATCACACTGAAGACCAGGCTTCGAATCCCCACATGGGTACAATGTGTGAAGCCCATTTCTGGTGTCCCGGTGTGATATTGCTGGAATAACTATACTCACTTACTGAGAACAATATGATAATAACAGGATGAGCTGATCCACTGTTCATGACAGTACATCCGCTATATTCTGTGAGGTTTCACTGTGGGATTTTACACTTTGTAAGGTGTTTTATGTGATTAGATAGAGTAGTGCTTAAAGTGCTAACGGTCCTGGTTCATTGCATGAAGCCAGTTCCAGGAGCTCCCTGTCATGATACAACCTATCATTGTAGGTCCGGCAGACCCACGGCTGTCAGGTGTCAGCACCTGGGACGTGGGGAGGGCAGCATGCAGGAGGGTGTCCAGCATCAGGCGGGAGTCTGGCATCGGCGAAAGCGAGGACGTTCCGAAAACACAGGTGCTGTTCCTGTTAGCCAGCTCATATTTCTCAGATATTTTAACAATTAATAGTCAATGCCAAAATCAGGAGCTTGAACATGAATACTGAGTAGATGTAATATATAATATATGGAGTAAGCTGGTTATGCTTGACCAGAATTTTTCTTAACTCATGGATACCCCACCCACATACATTATGATGATTACATTAAAAGTTGTATTGATATAATAACGTGTATAATAACAGAAACTACTCAAGAAGTATTTTGGGCAGATACTTTAGTATTTCATGGAAGACTCATCCTCGATAATCTCCAGGGTATACGTTACGATAAATCTCCACAAGCACCCTGGATGCATCTATGGCTCGGCCCGATAATTTTATTACCTCCCTTTGCTGGCTCCGCATTCTCACAGTAGCCAATCAGCTAAGCCGCCGTTACAACCGAGCTTGCCAGTGTCAACAAAAAATAGCGTACGCAGCCGTGAAGGTTTGTTCACAGTACACCTCAGATTTTGGGGAAAATCATACAGACAAATTGACAGGTCTGAAACCTTAAAAAATATGCAAGAACTCTTTCTACCTCTTTCAGAGTACCTCTGCAACAATTGTGTTGCCAAGTTTAATCAGTTAAATAAAAGAAGCGAAAGTGAGTTGTGATCGGTACACTCAACTTCCCTGCATAGACACCTGATTGGATAAAAAGCCAACCAAGGGAGGTAATAAAATTCTTGGGGCCGAGTCGTAGATGCATCCAGAGTATAGTGGAGATTTATTGGAATGTATACCCTGAGATTATCCCTGACTGAGTTTGGATTTACGCTTTTAGCAATATTCCAGCAACATCACGGCGGGGAACACCAGAAATGGGCTTCACACATTGTGGCCATGTGGGGATTTGAACCCGGGTCTTCAGCGTGACGAGCCAACGTTTTAACCATTAGGCTACCCCACCGCCCGATTGATTATCGAGGATGTGGATGACTATAAATAACAGCATCAACACAGTGCCCCCAAGCTTATATGTTTCTCCCTTCAATATCCCCTCTTTGCTGTCTGAAATTTGAAAACAAATGATTCAGGGTTGTGATTCACCTGCAAAAAGGGAGAGCATAGGAACTATTTTAAAGTCCTGTATCAGGATATGAATTGTATTGCACCCATATGTATCATATCGCAGACTCGCTGTATTGTTACATCTCTGCTACCAGTGCCAGTTTTGATATCATTATGTGATCTACAGTCAGAGGTACAGATTATGCAAATATTTATGTGAAAACTCAAATCCTATTACCAGTAAGTATAATGCATACAAGTATGCTTCAATTTTTGTAAATACTGATGTGATGTTAGATACGTACACATAAAAATGTCAAATCTTAACTTGCGCACTGATGGAGAGATAAAATAACAGATATACCGAGAGGTTCTATTTCAGCATTTAAACTTGGCAACTTGCAGTCTTTCCTATCATTTCTCATATTGCGGATCAAATATAAATAACAAACTCTAACAGTTAAACTTTAATATATTTTTACAATTAATGAAAATTGGCAAAATACCCTATTGAATCTGAGTGAGGTGAGTACAATTTATTTGGTTACTCAAAAGGAAAATTAGGATACCCAATTAAGATGAACACAAGCGAGTACATAACTCAATGACCCAAAAAGTTATCTGAAGCTCTGTACAGTGGTAACACAGCATCAGGAAATGATAGACAATTTGTTGCCACAGGTCTTGTTGGACTTCCTGGGGATACACACTGTATTACATATTTGGATATGTATCGTATTGTACACTCACTGTATTGTTATCCCCCGCCGTCTGTTAGCGCGAAGCGGGGGATATAGAATTAGGCTCCGTCCATACGTACGAATTAGAATATCTTAAGAACCGTTGACTAGATTCTTTTCATAGTTGGTACTTAGGTTCTTCACAGTATAAGAAAGGTCCCAGTCAGGTTTGGTTACCTTGACCTTAATTTCAAGGTCACAAGGTGACTTTAACGTTTTACTCTTGTCAGCGAGATATCTCAAGAACTGTTCTCTAGATTTTCTCCATATTCAACAACAAGCTTTATCTAGGGAAGGCGCAGGGCCTAGTCGATTTTGGTGACCTTCACATAATTTTCAAGGTCATGGGGACACTTTGAAGATTTCAGCATATTATATTAACCTGCATGATATCCTTGTCAGCGAGATACCTCAAGAACCATTCTTTAGATTTTCTTCATATTTGACATCAAGCTTCATCCAGGGAATGCGCAGGGCCCAGTCGATTTTGGTGACCTTCACATAATTTTCAAGGTCACTGCGCCACTTTGAAGATTTCAGCATGTTAACCTGAATTAACTGGATTTTCTTCATAGACTTCCAAGACTTCCCTTGAATGTATTCAATAAGCAATTTCTTTAGTACCATTTTTGAATATTTCATACACTATGACATTCATATCAAGGTCAAAGTCAGTCTTGAAAATATTTGTGTGTTCGAACAACTAAAGAAAAGATATCAAGAGAGGTTGACTGGACATGTTTTTGTTGTCATTTAACTTCATCTTAAACTTTCATTACTTTTTAAGTTTGATTTGATAATTTGCGGAGGGGGATTATGTCACCTTAGTGACAATGCTTGTTACATCTCTGCTACCAGTGCCAATTTTGATATCATTATGTGATATACAGTGGTAACATAGCATCAGGAAATGATAGACAATTTGTTGCCACAGGTGTTGTTGGACTTCCTGGGGATACAGCCTCATCCAGGACATCAGCCGTTGCTGGACCTCCGGGTCACCCCAGATATGCTCCACAAGATCTGCAGCATCTACAGGAAACCTATCTCGTATCCCCACAGAAGATTACCAGCCCAGAGTTAGTCGATGTTTACAATGGTGGAAGCAGAGATACCAACCACTCTGATTTTGGAGGAGTTACTCCCATTTTCAAATACAAAATCCACACTCCGATTTGTCTATAAAAACTCCGATTTTTTAGAAAATACAAATATGTTTATAAATTTAGAATGTTTGAAAGAATTTTTGTAATTATGTTCGTTTGAGTTAAGAATTATCGTATTTCCAGGCTAAATCTAAAGATTTCCATAGGGGAGGCCCCCCAGACACCCACCGTCAAAAGGGGCCCGTGCCCACTCTCACGCTCACCAACTCACACCTTCAGGGCTCAGGGAATTGCATTTAGCAAGGCATGACTCCGCTTTCATTTGATTCAGGGTTTGGAAGGTGCATCTCTGTGGAAGGTGAACTTACAGGTTGGGCAGGTTGATGAAAATATGGATAATAATAAGTATTAGGAGAAGGCAACTCTGTATATATCATCATTATCATGGCATTATGTCATTGTGTAAGATTCATTCATGCTCCTTTCTGACCGATACTGTGAAATACTGGTACTGAAAATGCTATTCTTTGAAATATTATTCATAAATGCTGAAAATATATACTTTCAGAAGTTCTGTTAACATTTCCTGCAAGTACACTGATAATAGGCTTAAATGGGTTCAGTTGGCACGGTTCCAGCTGGTGATTTGGTGCCTGACTCTGCGGGTGTGGGTTCGAATCCCAGATGGGACTCAACCCAACAAAAGTACAAGAATCTGTACCTAACTGTGAAAGTTGTAATCCCAACAATAACGTGTTAAATTGGTACAAGTGCTATTACTTGTTATTGCCCACACTACTGGGTTATTGTTGCGATGTTCATTGTTTATATTCATGTTAAGATTATTCTTGCCATTAACTGTGACGTTTCTGAAACTTTGAGACATGAATGACCTACTTCCCCTCTGTGTTATCCAGCAATATATTGTTCCAGTCGTTCAGGAAAATGTTTGATTGTGTGTTGAACATGAATAAACAAGTACGTTCCTGATTGTCTTGTATTATTTTCCAGTAATGTGCATGTTTGTCTACGTGGCCCTCAATCTACCAGTCCTCTGAATCACTCCAACTTTCTTAAATGTAATTCTGACTGCTTCCGTAGTCTAAGAGCATCTGCCAAGCCATTTGTTGCCACATAATTTAAGCACCTTAAATACACACCTGCTGTTTCTTTATATAGGTGATTGGTGTGCCAGATGACATATGCAGTATTTTGAACCTTCAGTAACAACTGAAGGTGACAGATAAATTCGGCAGTAACCTGTGTGAAACTGAAAAGCCATGGCCACGACACCAGAAATAACACAACAAACAGTTTCAAGAAAGAGTTATTAAGTTCTTTTGCTTAAAAATTATGTATTTTCAGTATGTCCTCACTCAATAACAAATATAGGTCACAAGAAATGTTCGTATGTGCAAAAATATTGTTACAAAGGCAAGAAATAGGAAAACAAACATTAGATTTTACTATTTTGATTAAACATATTCCCTCAGTGAAGAATATACAGCAGATCCATGTCTTCCTTTTCATCATATAAGTTGATATCTACTGATATCTATACATGTCAAGAAGTAAGGACAAATGTACACAGTGTTAATAAGTCAGACAGAAAGTACAGTGAGACCCCGGATATCCGGACACATTCGCTTTTGCGTAAATCTTCTAGATAACTGTATATTCGGATATCTGGATTTCTGTCATCCTGGCTTTGGAGTTGAAACGGTAGCGAGCATACACTTCTGGTTTAAAATCACTTCCAAAACAGCATGGTCGTTTTGATTTGCCAATTACATGTCTCTCAGTGTTAGACAGGCCTACTAATCACCACCAACACCCTGCTGATCGGTCATTAATCTGGATCAGCAGACCTTGTCTCATGTCAAGACACTTGGGACACTCGCGCTTCACTTCACACGGTCAGCGGAAGATCAAAGCTTTGTGCGGATAAGTGTGTCAATTTTGTGTTGATTCTGCCGGTTGGTTTGTAAAATTTACCGTCCAGAAACAGAAACTGCATATCCGTTATAGACTGTCACTTTTATAATGTACGAGATTGTGTTTTTATTAAAATTGACCGGAAGGCGAGGTTTCCGGATATTTGGGGTCCGGGTATCCGGGGTCTCACTGTAGTTCCGACACAAAAGGTCACTTCACTCAAATCTTTGGGTACTAAACATCCACCATGTTTTCCATTCCCGCTGAAGCAAACTTAACACTTACTACCATTAATGGTAGACAATCAGGTAACTTTTGGATATTTGCATGTAGGTATGGCAGCTCTCATATCAGTTGACTTGGGTATGGATTATACAAATTTAAAGCCTGCGTGTACTGGAGGAATACTGGTATTAAATGCTCGTGTCTTTTGTGATTCTCAGTAAGATCTTTTACTCCAATATTAATACCTCCTTGCATGAAGATCCAATGAATGAACTGAGGTAGGTCATGTCAGGTGATATTTCTAAACAGCCAATCAGCTTTCAAGCTTCTAAATTCATGTTACACGTGAGTGAAGCTTTCGGAGCAGCATATTTGATTTCTCAAACATGAACATAACTGTTCAGTTCCAAATGGAAATAACAAAAGCTGTGCCATCACTTTTGTTACACCTCTCACTGTAAGAGTGCCATGGCATATCTGGACCTGATCTGTCTAAGGTTCCCTATGGGTTTATCTGTTACGACCTTATGTTTGACTGACTGACTGACTGACTGAGTTCAGTTTTACGCCGCTTTTAGCAATATTCCAGCAATATCACGGCAGGGGACACCAGAAATGGGCTTCACACATTGTGCCCATGTGGGGAATCGAACCCGGGTCTTCGGCGTGACGAGCCAACGCTTTAACCACTGGGCTACCCCACCGCCCCTCCTTATGTTTGAAACGTGTTGAGACACAGATAACAAGTTGGTTTGTAAGTTTTACGTCACTTTGCAATATTCCAGCAATTTCATGATGGATGACACCAGAAATGGGCTTCACACCTTGCACCCATCTGGGGAATCAAACCAGGGTCTTGGTGTGACAAGTGGACACTTTAACCACTAGGCTACCTGACTAAAGTGTTACATATTGGAGTAAAATATTTAACTTTTGCGAAAATTGTGTTCTTTGAACTGGCCATGACTACTGTCAATGATATCACAATGAGATAGTTATGTTTTTGCTACTTCTTCCAGAATGTGCTTCCACAAACTATATTCCTGGGTCTTCTGACAGACAGCAGTGCAACACTTTTTCATTTTGTATCACAGTGCAATATTTCACAGAGCCCTTCTTTCAACAGGATGTGGTGTCAGCTTTCTAATATCCAGTGAAAGAGCTGATATTTCTGAGATTAGCAGCAATTTGTATCACATTTCATATAGTTTGTCTTATCATCTCAAGACTTGAGCCTTTCATTTTGTCCAGCGACCATATCCTGGTCTAATGCCACGTGAGTTGATGACATCAACGACGACGCTGTGTTTAAACTCGTTCCACTCTCGCTTCAGTTCCTGCTGAATGTATTCCTCCTCAATGTCACCCTGCAAAACAGAAGCTGACTGGTTACCAAGGCAACAGACAAACAATGACTCAACCATGTTCAAATCTACCTCGGTACATCACCAAATCATCATATATACCTTGTCGCTATGTTCTGTTGATCACTGGATTGTCTGGTCCAGATTCGATTATTTACAGACTGCCGCCATATAGCTGGAATACTGCTGAGTGCTGCATTAAACAACAACCAAACCATATCTACCTACCTTGGTTAAATCCCCAAACGTCCTTGTATTGGACTGCTTGAACAGCTGTACTGTAACTTCATCAAGTTCTGAAATAAAAAAGAATCTTGAAGACCAGTAAAAGGTTGCTCGAGAAATACCTCACAATCACTGATAATTATAAAATTCCTCCTCTCCAATTACTGTAATCGTATATATTTTCACGGGGTGCAATCTTCGCGGAAAGTTCACCAAAGACCTGTTAGCGCATTTGTTTTTTCGCGCATTTCAAACACCTGAGTAATGGTATCCATCACAAAGTTTTCACAACCGATAGACATGCAATGACCATAGCTAGCTGCCATAATTGAATCATGTTTACTAAAACAATCAGAGAGAGGGGTGGGATTATACTTGTGTCAACATGATAACACCTGTCCCATATGCGAGATTAACTGACAACAAATTAAGGAAGAGTGTTTACCAGTACTTACGATAATTAAACATAGAAATCATAAAGTAGTGTTTGTTGTTTATGAACACGTGTTGTTCACATGGTCAAATCACTGATTGGCTGCATTAAACAAATTGCATGTTGTTCGTACTTGTGTATTTGTCTGAATTTTGTCAGGACTTGACCATGAATATTTCGCTTGGTATGATTATTGACGCACAATCTTTTTGAGCTAAAAGCGCGAAAATTAATCCCACGCGAAAATAACTACGATTACAGTACTTCCCAAGGGATCCCCTTGCTACACACCTAAATCCCAAACCGTTCTTGCACCACTCTCTCTCTCCTCTCAACCAATTCTACCCAACTAGTTCTCTTGCTACACACCTGCTATCCGCTCTGGTTTGATGATGCCCAGTTCAATATCTGTTGCCGTGACAATGGAGCATGTGATTGGCTCATCCAGAAGCACGCTCAGTTCAGCAAATGAATCCGAAGGCTTCAGTCTTCCCATGACCACCTGTTTTGTTTTCCGTTCCTGCAACAAGACATGGGTTTGAGAGTGTCTCGCTGCTTCTGTGAACATCTGGTCTGATGCAGTTAAATGCAGCATATGTCAGACAGATCCTTCCACTATAACTTTTGTATTTTCAGATGCAGATAAGCATGTTTTCATATTTGTGACTTTAATAAAGTATGCAATACATGGAAACTGCATTTGGAACGGACACCATTAATGGAATGATGATAAAGCTTTTTGGAAAAGGAGCGGTGCATTTTGGGAATTTGGTAATTCCAATCCACGAATGGGACATACTTTTGTAGAAAATATAATGATGTAATAGGTTTATTACAGTTATACACTAGTCTCAAGTTCTAATTGCCCTTGGCATGTACTGTAGTCCCAAGAAGGGATACTGAAAAGGAGATTACCTTCTGTCCATGATGGTTGCGGAGAGTCTGTAGGACGTCGACCTGTCGCAGCACATGGCACTCCCCACTTTTGATAAAGCCGATGAATGGAGACTTGTAACCCTCCGACACAACCACTGGAACAACATACATCAGGACTCGCCAACAGTGTTGACATGTGCAAACATGTTTCATATAAGGCTGTTAAGGTGTAATCATTAACTTGTGGGTGAGTTGCACCTTATGTCACTTTAAGTACTGATTCACTAGTGAGGGTAAATGGAGCATGGAAATGGGTGAAACTTCTAACAATAATTAGGCTCAAGTTAAATATGAAATAATCCCACCTTAGCAGAAAAGTTTTTAATAGGAGCTATCTTATCACAACTTTTACCAATATGAAATTATGACTGTGTCGCCATCAGTAATATGACCCTGCCTATAATGTGACTACATGTACAGACATACAGTAAAAGCAAACTTAAATACCCTGTTTGTACTGACATCGAGACTGAAGCACTTCAACAAAGCAAATAGCTGTGCAGAGTCGTGTCCCTTGGTTGTGGATTCAAATCCTGGTTTCCCTTATGCCTGCACAATATCCCTGCCCATGGGTTCCACCAATTTCACTGTACAATTTGGGGTTTTCCTCCTATATCAAGCTCGCATGATATAAATGGACTACAGGTAAACTTGGTGTCAAACCCAACTCACTCACTGATTGTAATAATTAAGCTATAAAAATGCTCCTTGACACACAGTACCTGTGTTTGGCGGGTAAGTCATCCACTCGATGAGGTTAGCTACTTGTATGAGAGGCTGGCGGGGCCACACCCCATACTGCTCCCCTGACAGAAGGACATTCAGTTTCTCCGTGTGCTCTCGCTGACGGATTTGCTGCAACAGATAGAGTGTAGTATTAGTCACAATGAAAGATTGCTACATGATTTTTGTCCAGTTATATTTTGAATTTTGGTATGGACCCTACACAAAGAAGAAATCAAACTATGGCATTATTTAACATCACTGGCACATCACCAATCGTGATGTTTGCATGTACATATCATTTTTTCAGTTCTACCGAGACATATCTGATTTTTATGGCACATATGTGCATGAAAAGCTTTTCAGAATCTGTAGACAGGTTCCTGGCTGCCTTTGAGCTGCGAAAGCTTTATGAGGCGAGGTTCCACCTGCATGTGTTCGGAAGGTCGCGGGTTTGATCCCTGACCGCGTCATACCAAAAGACGTTAAAATATGGTACTTGTTGGTCCCCGCCTGGCGCTCGGCATTAATGGGTACAACAAGGACTGGTCGGCTTGGAGTCAGTATAATGTGTCTGAGTGGGGTATTCATGCTTCACTGCGGCATGATATCTCAGTGAGCTAGCACTATAAAACCAGCTTCAGTCTGGGCTAGTACAAGCAGCCGCGCATACACATACACCTCAACTGTGGGCATGTTTATAATGTTACTTCCATCTACTGTGACTCACCTCTATGACCCTGTTGTAGTCAGAGACAGATATCTTTAATAATTCAACTGGGGTTTCATCTGTATTGACACTCAGCACTCTGAAGACAGGCAAGGTCATATAAAGGTCACATTATTGGTCACAAGAGAGATACAGGATTGGTCACATAAATGTTGTATGATTGGTAACAGGACCGTTCACATAGGCTCATAGGATTGGTCACAAATACAATGTAAGTCACAGGACTAGTCATGTGAATGTCACATAAAGGTCAAATGAAGGTCACACCAACACCCACGTACTAGAGCCGAACATTGGCAGATGAAATAATCATGTTCAAATATTTTTTAGATCTGGAACACAGGAAAATTTCTTTGATCTTTCATGGGAACATAACAATTTTGCAAACTATCATCAGATTAAAAGTATCATTTTTCTAAAACTTCTAAACAGACATGTTAATGCCCAAATCATATGGTCAGTCACCTCTATCTCTCTACTGACATGTCCTTCTTCTACTCCACCAGTAGAAACTACTCATTAAATATCCAGTTCTAACAGTCCATGAATTATTTGTATTAACTCTGTGATCTATAATCCTGAACAATGGTGTAATTTTGCTTACTTGGTGTTGGCCGATCTGTCCTCAATCTTCACCAAGGTGCCAAAACATTCACCTACTTCAAGCTGCAACACAGAAACACATATGGCACACAACACACCTACAGCCATATGTTCATAACAAAACTCAGGGACATTTGTGACTATGTTGTGTTATATGAACACAACGATTATTAACATACAGAATCACAATGAGTGAGTGAGTTTAGTTTTAAGCCGCTTTTAGCAGTATTCCAGCAACATAACGGCTGTGGACACCAGAAATGGACTTCACACATTGTACCCATGAGGGAAATTGAACCCGGGGTCTTAGGTGTCACGAGCGAACGCTTTAACCAGTAGGCTACCCAACCACGCCCTACAGAAACACAGGGCATCACAGATTAACTATGGTAACATGAAACAACAGGGAGTTCTTTAAAATCCTTTGTGTAGAATATATGACGATACTTCCCGGAAGTCTGTTTAGGGATTTACTTTCTGGTTTTCAGATGGACCTTGAGATAGTTAAGAAATAATTTTTTAATAATACTGGAAAAAGATAATTTTGCATAGATTCTTAAAAAAATGAATTGTTCACTGATGTACTGGTTGTTGTGATATAGATGTGATTTGAAAAAGAAAATGGTTTAGCTCCTCATTTCAAACAAAATGTCTTGAAACAGTGACTGAAATATATTCTGTGCCTGGCAAAGAAAAACATTTTCATTCAGAAGAAGTTTCTCATCACTTCCCTAGTCATGAGTTGGTGGATGCATAAATGCTTTTTTACATTCAAGATTAGTTCTCATGCTACTAGTACAACTGCTACTTGGTCAGCAACAAATCTATACTGCAACCTACCTTCTCATCAACCTCTTCTTCTATTGGCGTGGGTGAGCGGAACTCCATCTGGGAGAAGTGGATGTTAAGATAAGGCGACGTCAAAGGCAGGACAGAACCCTTCAACACCATGTGCAGACCGGAGTTGCCGAATACTGAAAAATGTTCACACCCTTCAACACCATGAACAGACCAGAGTTGCCGAATACTGAAATATGTTCACACCCTTCAACACCATGTGCACACTGGAGTTGCCAAAAACTGAAACATGTTCACACCCTTCATCACCATGTGCAGACTGGAGTTGCCGAATACTGAAAAATGTTCACACCCTTCAACACCATGAACAGACCAGAGTTGCCGAATACTGAAATATGTTCACACCCTTCAACACCATGTGCACACTGGAGTTGCCGAATACTGAAACATGCTCACACCCTTCAACACCATGTGCAGACTGGAGTTGCCGAATACTGAAACATGTTCACACCCGTCAACACCATGTACAGACTGGAGTTGCCGAACACTGAAACATGTTCACACCCTTCAACACCATGTGCAGACTGGAGTCGCCAAAAACTGAAACATGTTCACACCCTTCAACACCATGTGCAGACTGGAGTTACCAAAAACTGAAACATGCTCACGCCCTTCAACACCATGTGCAGATTGTAGTTACTGAATCACCTGAAACAAGCTCACACCCTTCAACACCATGTGCAGATTGTAGTTACTGAAACATGCTCACTCCCTTCAACACCATGTGCAGATTGTAGTTACTGAAACAAGCTCACACCCTTTAACACCATATGCAGATTGGAGTTACCAAAAACTGAAACATGCTCACGCCCTTCAACACCATGTGCAGATTGTAGTTACTGAATCACCTGAAACAAGCTCACACCCTTCAACACCATGTGCAGATTGTAGTTACTGAATCACCTGAAACATGCTCACTCCCTTCAACACCATGTGCAGATTGTAGTTACTGAATCACCTGAAACATGCTCACACCCTTCAACACCATGTGCAGATTGTAGTTACTGAATCACCTGAAACATGCTCACACCCTTTAACACCATCTGCATATTGTAGTTACTGAATCACCTGAAACAAGCTCACACCCTTCAACACCATGTGCAGATTGTAGTTACTGAATCACCTGAAACATGCTCACTCCCTTCAACACCATGTGCAGATTGTAGTTACTGAATCACCTGAAACATGCTCACACCCTTCAACACCATGTGCAGATTGTAGTTACTGAATCACCTGAAACATGCTCACACCCTTTAACACCATCTGCAGATTGTAGTTACTGAATCACCTGAAACAAGCTCACACCCTTCAACACCATGTGCAGATTGTAGTTACTGAATCACCTGAAACAAGCTCACACCCTTCAACACCATGTGCAGATTGTAGTTACTGAATCACCTGAAACAAGCTCACACCCTTCAACACCATGTGCAGATTGTAGTTACTGAATCACCTGAAACAAGCTCACACCCTTCAACACCATGTGCAGATTGTAGTTACTGAATCACCTGAAACAAGCTCACACCCTTCAACACCATGTGCAGATTGTAGTTACTGAATCACCTGAAACAAGCTCACACCCTTCAACACCATGTGCAGATTGTAGTTACTGAATCACCTGAAACAAGCTCACACCCTTCAACACCATGTGCAGATTGTAGTTACTGAAACATGCTCACTCCCTTCAACACCATGTGCAGATTGTAGTTACTGAATCACCTGAAACATGCTCACACCCTTTAACACCATATGCAGATTGGAATTGCCCAAAACTGACACAATAAGCTCACTCCCTTCAACACCATGTGCAGACTGGAGTTGCCGAATACTGAAACATGCTCACACCCTTCAACACAATGTACTGTCAGCATTCTTCCAACTATTTCACAGAAATTCGTAAAAATATCCAATGGTTGACATTATTAGCGATGCTGACAACAACACTGCAGTCAAGCGTGTCTGCACAGACCACATGATCCACTTGTTACCTATTACAACTGACCTAACTGATACACCAATTCTAACCCACAACAGGAAAGTAAACAGCTCTTACTTGTGAAGTTTTCCTCCTTCCACACCTCGAGCTGGGCGACCACACATAACTCCTTCAGAACATTCAAGGGCACGCACTGGGCGAAGAACGGAAATGTTCGCAGAATAGAAAACACCCTGTCATTGTCTGCTGCTGTCCTCTCAAAGGGACTGAAAGACAAGTATACATGGTCCACAGTTTGAAAGAGATATAATGGATTCTATCTCAATGTTGAGTGAACATGGGCAAAAGAAAAGATGTGAAAGATCAAAGGAATAAAAGATAAATTGTCAGCATGATAATTATTTTCTGCAAAGAGCTTGCTTGTAAACAAAAATATGATGATGTATGCGAGTAGTTATTATCCAGAATCTTGTGTGTCAGATATTTTGTAAAACCAAAATGTTCCTTCAATAAGCATAGATCAGACAGACAACAGAACAAAACATCGATGCAAATTTCAAGACAGCTCAAATAGGTCTCATCATCTTAACATAGAGTTGTTCGTACTTTTGATAACTCGGGTCATTTTTTTCTGTATGTACGTTATACAAACCTAGTTGCTATGTCCATGCACCTAATAATCCTATGAAGGGCATACAGACACACCCGTGAAGATCTGGGTTAGAATTTGTATGCAACTGTCATCCTAACCCAACTGCATAGATTGATGCTCTTGCTGTTGACCATGGGACTGTCTGATACAGATTTGATCATTTACAAACAGCTACCATGTAGCCGGAATATAGTGCTGAGCCTTTAGCAGCGTAAAACAACATAGACTGACTGACTGACTGAGTTTGGTTTTACGCCGCTTTTAGCAATATTCCAGCAATATCAAGGCGGGGGACACCAGAAATGGGCTTCACTCTTGGTACCCATGTGGGGATTCGAACCCGGTTCTTCGGCGTGACAAGCCAGCGCTTTAACCACTAGACTACCCCACCGCCCCAAAAACAACATAGAAACAAAGCATACAGAGACACCTATACGTACAGTTTCCTGAGAATCCTCCGCAGGGTCTTGATGTTTGCTACTCTGATAGCGTACGGGTCCTCGCTCTTACGCTCCTTGTGGAACATGGGGAGATAATCACTGACATTGTGAGACACAGCGCGGGTCTTTACTTCCTTCTTAACAGGTTTCTTCTCATGTGATTCACTTCCTGTTGAAGAAGGAGCAAGATACAGAGATTACTACATGGCTGTCTGTCAGATACCATATATCTTATGGGGGTTTGCACACACCCGCCCTCTGGATCTGCCTATGCATTAACTCATCCAGAGTTATCTCCCTTGAATAACAAACAGATATGCTCTTTTACATTTGATAAACTGCATTTGATAGTTGTTCAGTTTCAAGATGACATTACGATATCATTGTATGTTAAGAGATTCAGCATTTCTAATTAAGGTATATGAACGTTGGCCATCAGTGACCACTCAGAAACAAGTATCAAAATGTAGGGTAAGGTATTCAACTTCTCACAGCTGAACGTGCAATTGCTGTACCCGACATGGCGCCAGCGGGGTCACAAGACAAGGGCAAGGATCAAACCACAACCATCCTTCCTCCAAGCAGACACTCTATCCACTACACCATGGTAGCTGTATCCAGTGTGCGAATTAGCCACTGGCCCGCAAGCTTGGGGCTAGTAAAAATCCAGTCGGGACAGTTAATCTCCACAGTCACTGGCCTGAGCATCCTCGATAATCTCCAGGGCATATGTTATGATAACTCTCCACTATACCCTGGATGCATCTATGGCTAGACCCGATGTTTTTATTACCTCCCTTTGCTGGCTCTGCATTCTCACAGTAGCCAGCTAAGCCGCCATTACAACAGAGCTTCCAGTGTCAACAAAAATAGCGGTCACAGTCGCCAAAGTTTGTTCGCAGTGCAACTCAGATTTTGGGGGAAAACATACAAACTGACAGGTCTGAAACTTTAAAAACCTTTAAAAATAAGAGTATTTGCAACAATATAATATTGTGTTGACAAGTTTAATCGGTTAGATCATTTAAAAAGCGAAAGAGAGTTGTGATTGGTACGCTCAACTTCCCAGCGTAGACACCTGATTGGATAAAAAGCCAACCAAGGGAGGTAACAAAATCATCGGGCCGAGCCGTAGATGCATCCATGGTATAGTGGAGATTTATCGTAACGTATACCCTGGAGATTATCGAGGATGTGGCCCAAGTGGCTAGTAAATTTTCATGGGGTTATTTTTTAAAAATATCACTCTCAGACTTGTTAAATTATAATACACTTTTATATCATGCATGATTATGGCTTGATAAATGATGGTATTTACTTTTTGTAATCTTTTGCTTAGTTTCTACACCCAAATTTGGGGCTTGTGAATTATTTTGTGGGCTTGTAACTTTCAGCCATAACTAGCCCGACTGGCTAGCAAAATTAGGAAACTATTTCACACACTGGCTGTACCCCACATGGCGCCAGCAGGGCAACAACAAGTACCATCTTTTATTACCCACGTGGTCAACGTATGGGTAGTTGCATACTAATCTCGTACGTCACACGAGTGTCGTATCGCGTTGACCTGTGTCGTAACGACTTGACCTGAGATTATAACGATTTGATTGGATAACCGATGACCTCTCAATTAGGTCACATTCTGACGTAACTATTTTTTCATTCTTAACAAACACGTGAATTCATTCATTCTGCAACTTAAATGCATTGTGGGAATGTAAATATTGTGAACGTTGCCGTGTCGCTGTTTAATTGCTAGTCGAACTGAGACATTATATCCGTCGAAAAACATAAAAGCAATGTTTCCACCTGTGATGTTAGCCGAATGAAGCTACTGCAAACCAAGAAACGAGGTGCAACGGAGTAGTTTACTGTAGGAGGCTGTACGAGGCGATGACAACTGACATGCATCGTGGCGTCGGTTACCATGGCAGTGACGTCATTACAGTGTGACGTCATGCTAATATTGTACTACAGTACAACACTCTTCCCCAACCTCTTTATGAAACCGGTTTCGGTTTGAAACCAAAAAATAACAAAAATATGCTATTTTGTCAATTTAATGCATGTAAGAAGTGGGTAATAAATAAAATACCACACTCGGTCTCATTACATACGAATTATATGAAACTCGTGACCTTCTTATGTTATCTGACCTCGCTTTCGCTCGGTCAGATACCATGGGAAGGACACTCGTTTCGTATAATTCGTATGTAATGAGACCTCATGTAGTATTCTCTATTTACCCTCACATGAAGGGACTACTGCTGTTATAGAAGGACAAAGTGGAATGATAGCTCGGCATGGTACTTACTTGTAGCTTTATGACTCACACTCAACGTTGAACCCCGATTGGCACTGTAACAAAATGTCAATGAAATTTTATTTTTTTTAAATTCATAAATTTGAATTTAGGAACTTGTCATTTATGAGAGAGAAGGGAGAGAGAGTCAAGGTGTCTTGAAAGAATACTACACATTGTTTGACAACACATGAATTAATGTTCCATAAAATGGTCATGAGTGGGGAAGGTTGACAAAATCAGATAGTCCAAACCCCCACACTCATCTCCCCTAACCCTCCCCACCCTCACTAAAATTATGAGATTTCTGAAAAATGTAAAACATCTGAAGCCATGTTGAAAATCAAAAGAAACAATTTTTAGAGAATATCCATTAAGCTGTATGATTACAGATTACCTACCTATCCTGAGTAAAGGCATGGTGCCTTTGGCAAGGGACTTAGAGCAATCACTGATTCATTCATGAGGGAGTAATAATTCCCAGTGAGTTATCCTATATATTACTCATTGTGAGGTGAGGTGAGGTGAGGTGAGGTGAGGTGAAATTGGGTTTAACGTCGTGCTTGAGAATATTTCGCTCATATGACAACGTGCATGTGGTGTATGTGTATGTGCGGCTGCTTGTACTAGCCCAGACTTAAGCTGGTTTTATAGTGCTAGCCCATTGAGATACCATGCCGCAGTGAAGCATGATTACCCCACTCAGACACATTATACTGACTCCGAGCCGACCAGTCTTTGTTGTACCCATTAATGCCGAGCGCCAGGCAGAGACCATCAAGTACCATATTTTAACGTCGAACCCGCGACCTTCCGCTCTCTGGGCGGATGCTCTAACCACGACACCACAGAGGTGGCCTATTACTCATTGTAACTTTATGAGTAAATCCACATGATTAGCCCTGAGAAAATGAAGTCAGTACTGTCCAAATAACATGATGATATCAATGTGTGATGACACGGATGAGTGTTAGATTACATGAATGTGTGTTGTTCAGTTTAACCAGTTTGGACTGAATCGTTTATTGCAATCTACATCTTCAGGTCACTGAGTGCCACTGAGAATAAACAATGTTGTTTTTTTATATTTTCTTTGTTGTTTAATGTCACACACAGAAATATTCCAGCTATAAATAATTAAGTCTGGTCCAGACAATCCAGTGACCAACAGCATGACCATCAATCTACGCAATTGGGATATGATCATGTGTCAACCAAGTCAGCAAGCCTGACCAACCAATCACAATCGCCACATATGACAAGCATGGGTTACTGAAGACAAATTCTAACCTGGATCTTGACTGGCGAATACAAAATATGAAAGGCATGTTAAATAGTGTGAAACCAGAGCCACAAAAACTGCAATCACTAGTTGGTCAAGATGGGCAGTCTTTCACAGAGCTCATATTAGCATCTGTAGACAAGAAGCTGAGAGGTGTAACTGGTAGTGTAGGACTGACAACTAACTGTATGACTGCCCCAAGGAAAGCCATGAAATCACAGCATTTATTACCCATGTGGTCAACGTATGGGTAGTTGCATACTAATATCGTACGTCACACAAGTGTCATATCGCGTTGACCTATGTCGTAACGACTTGACCTGAGACTCTAACGATTTGATTGGATAACCGATGACCTCTCCGACATTATATCCGTCGAAAAACATAAACGCAATGTTTCCACCAGTGATGTTAGCCAAGTGAAGCAGTTGCAAACCAAGAAACGAGGTGCTATGGAGTAGTTTACTGAAGGAGGCTGTAACGAGAGGCGATGACAACTGACAGTGTGACGTCATGCAAAAGTGTACGTCAGAAAATTCTTCCGCAACCTCTTTATGAAACCGGTTTCGGTTTGAAACCACAACAATACCAAAACTACGCTATTTTGTCAATTTAATGCATGTAAGACGTGGGTAATAAATAAGATACCACACTCGGTCTCATTATATACGAATTATACGAAACTCATTTTCGCTCGGTCAGATACCATAGGAAGGACACTCGTTTCATATAATTCGCATGTAATGAGACCTCATGTAGTATTCTCTATGTCTCGTGATTAATGGACAGAACCCAAGACAATATCTCACCTTCTTTTCTCAGCGTGGATTGGAAAGCCTAACTTCTTGGGAGGTTTGACAAACATCTTGTGGTAGTTGGCCATGAATAATTGATGTGCTTCCTCTGACGTCTCATTGTTGTCTCTGAATGTGAAGGTGCAGTGAAATTTTATGGGATATCATTTTACACATATTAATTTCTTCATTAAAACAGAAGGATAGACAGAGCAAGGCAAGGTTATACTGAATGCAACATTATTACATGCTGTATGCTTACAAAATGAGGATGCACAAAATGATTTTCAGTTCAAAAAGACAACAACCAAAATGTAATTGATTGTTTCGTTGTAAGCATAAAGACTTTTAAACATATTCTTTACAATATCTTAAACACAGACGTGATAAAATATTGTGTATTTTGTTTTCATTTTATGTTAGAGTCTGATAAACACAACTGTTCAAATGTATTTTTTATTTAATTTTATGGGGTTTTTTATCAGTCATTGCCGTAAACCGACTGAAAAAAATATAAGGATGTAAATCCTCCTCTATCATACATCTGTGTATGAGTATAAGTTTTCTGAGCATTCATGAGCATACTGTGATATGATTTCAGTATAATTCTTAGAATCACAACACATTTTCATGCATTATATCCCTATATCATTAATGAGTGAGTGAAGTATAGTTTTCACCACTTTTAGCATTATTCCAGCAATATCACAGCTGGGGACATCAGAAATGGGCTTCATATATCATTAATGAGAGCCACCGCGAATAAAACCCTGTTAAGGGAATATCTGGTGGCACTGCTGGAGCAATCGGAAAGACTTTCACAGTGATGATGAAGCATCCCCACCTGTGACAACATGTGTAGAAGGTTTAATTTAAAACAAAAAATTGAACTTACTACTTACTTGTTCTCTTATGAGGTCATCATAATCCCATTTTTGGTGTCCCCTGCGTGATAGAATAATGTTAAAAGCGGCATAAAACCACACTCACTCCACTCGTCATAATCCCATAATGGAACATTTATTTACCTGTTCTTCATTCCATTGATGCTGCATAATTCCTGTAGTTTGTCATAGTCTATAACTGGTGGTTTTTCAATTACAGGAACTGCAACAACACAACTCATACAATTAATATCATTTATATCACTGAATATTAAAAAATACCTATTATTTTCTATAAACATTAATATATATGTCATATGTGCATGCAATATGATTCGTTTTGTTAGCTATGAAACATAATCAAATACTTCTTTAAAATTTCATGATTGATTATCTAAATGCAATAATGGTCTCAGCTGGTTATTCATGCATGCATCAGTGCTTACGTTTGTGTTGAGTTTTTCTTGAATCTCGTACATTCCACGAAAACGTTTGAGGGTTTGTCATTCCGTTTGACGAGCGCCATAATTATTCAGAGATAGATATTGCTCTTCACTGAAATCACAAATCAATTATCTATTTTCTTCGTCTTTCAAACGGGCACCTGTATCCACGCCGCCATGTTGTTTACACCCGTGACTAGGCACGAAGCCTCGGCAAATCTCGCGGCTTTTGGCCAAACTGGGACTCGGCCAACTGTCAATATCTGTGTCACGATGTACGAAGTGGAAGGGGCGCCTAATTCGGATTTCGTTTGAGAAGGACGGTGATGTAACTCGTGACAGGTGAGTCAGCTGCAAGTGTTGAGAATATACATTACTAAAAGCATACAGCAACAGTGAAGACAGCTGTTGGCGGATTAACGCTAAGCTTTGACATTTGATTGCACCTGTGAAACCTAATCAATAATTGACGCTCATCAAAGAGCGCCGGTCATTGAATCATTACACGGAGTACGTCTCGGCACAAGGCTAACACGCAATGCAGATGTAGAAATTAGCTTGTGTTAATCCCGTGACACACATTCACGCGAAATGATTTACCTTCGCAGAGACAGATTTAGAATATCTTACTGAAAGTTTACTGTACAAATGTTTCCTCACGAAAGTCCAGCTAAGTACTCGAATGATTTTTTGTTCATTTGTAAACTGAGATGTCTTTTTGAAAAATCCATGTACTGTTTTAGTTTGATTTTTTTTCTTATTTCTTATTTTTTATTCAAAAAATAGGTCTAAACCTTAAACCCAAACCTTTAGCGTTCTTATACTTATTTCAACAACTGTTAAATACGAAACATATCTCATAACTTTCATGTTAGATGTATATACGTTTAGATACATTCATATTCAGTTGTCAACATTGTTTAAAGAGCTACATAAATCTATTAAGGATTGGTTATAGTGACATTTAAAGAATATGTAAAAAAGCAGTGTTGTTAATTGTAGCAATGTGTATGTATTTATACCATGTTGCTTTATATAAATTGTTAGATAGGTTGTTTTGAGTAGGAAGAAGACTTGTTTCCTACTTTTCATTCAGCCTCACATTTGATAAATGAAGAAATAATTTCAGAGTTGGTTTGAGATGAATTACATGGGAGAAGTTTGTAAAGTTTATTATCTCAAAATCCATGTAATTATTTTGAAACTGTGTGGTGATTATAGGACAAACAGTTATCATTCTTCAAATAATGAAACTTCCCATCGGAGATAAATTTTGGATTCAGAAGATTAGGACTGGTGTAGTATCACTGCACAATCCCACAAAACTATAAAAAAAAATATAATTGACTGGCAAAATTGTTTTTGTGAATCCATTCAAGCTGTCACAGGTTATGAGTTATGTAATGCATGACCAACAGTATTGAATTGTAATTGAATTCAGTCTCTAATGATGCTTAAATACTTCCAGCATGTAACATACACCATTGTGATCCATCATGAAACAGGAAGTTATCAAACCAGTCATTGTGAGAGGTTGTTAGATGCTGTCTTTGACGTATCATTGTCCACAGTCTCTGTTTAAGAGCGTAATATTCTCTACTCTGTTCTGCCTTAATACAGAGGTACAGATAAGCTGTTTATCTGCGTAAATTATGCAAAATATTCATGTGAAAACTCAATTCCTAATAAGTTCAAGTTTAGCGCCTACAAGTACACTTGTATTTTGTAAATACTCAATAAATGTAATCTTACATGCGTGCACACAAAACTGTCAAATCTGAGCTTGCTTACTGGTGGATAGATAAAATAACAGGTATATTGAGAGGTTCTATTTCAGGAAATAAACTTGGCAACTTGCAATCTTTAATAACTTTTTCTCATATTACAGATCAAATATAAAACAAACACTAACATTTATAGCATTTATTGGCAAAAGATTATTTTTACTATTAATGGAAAATGGCAAAATACGCAATTGCATTTGAGTGAGGTGAGTACAATTTATTCGGTTACTCAAAGGAAAATTATGATACCCAATTGAGATAAACACAAGCGAGTACATAACTCAATGACCCAAAAAGTTATCTGTAGCTCTGGTTAATACCTCCCACCTCTTGTCTGTGAGGCTAAATTAGATGAATTTCTTACTAAATTTGCCATCACCCCTATTTGATTAAAAGGGGCAGTGGGGTAGCCTAGTGATTAGAACGTTCGCTCCTCACGCCGAAGGCCCGGGTTCGATTCCCCACATGGGTACAATTTGTGAAGCCCATTTCTGGTGTCCCCCCGTGATATTGCTGGAATATTGCTAAAAACGGCGTAAAAACATACTCAGTCAGTCAGTAATTTGATTAAAAACTGAGCACTGATTTTGATGTCTGGATTCTGACCCTTTGTATGTTTAGTTGATCAGGCGTGGCATAAGATTTTGATGTGTAACATCAGAATCTGTATGAAGGTGCGGATCTTTCATCTCTGTGTCATGCCAGTTGGACCCTTGTCACCTCTGTGTCATGCCAGTTGGATCCTTCTCACCTTGTGTCATGCCAGTTGGACCCTTGTCACCTCTGTGTCATGCCAGTTGGACCTTGTCACATCTTGTCACCTCTGTGTCATGCCAGTCGGACCCTTGTCAATGCTGTGTCATGCCAGTCGGACCCTTGTCAATGCTGTGTCATGCCAGTTGGATCCTTCTCACCTTGTGTCATGCCAGTTGGACCCTTGTCACCTCTGTGTCATGCCAGTTGGACCCTTGTCACCTCTGTGTCATGCCAGTCGGACCCTTGTCACCTCTGTATCATGCAGTTGGACCCTTGTCACCTCTGTGTCATGCCAGTCGGACCCTTGTCAATGCTGTGTCATGCCAGTCGGACCCTGGTCACCTCTTGTGTTATGACTGTCAGGCCCTTGTCACCTTGTGTCATGCCAGTTGGACCCTTGTCAATGCTGTGTCATATCTGTTGGACCCTTGTCGCCTCTGTGTCATTCCAGTTGAACCCTTGTCACCTTGTGTCATGCCAGCTGGACCCTTGTCACCTCTGTCATGCCTGTTTGACCCTGGTCACCCCTGTGTCATGCCTGTTGGACCCTTGTCACCTTGTGTCATGCCTGTTGGATCCTTGTCACCTCTGTGTCATATCACTGGGACCCTTGTCACCTTGTGTCATGCCACTTGGACCCTTGTCACCTTGTGTCATGCCAGTTGGACCCTTGTCACTTTGTGTCATGCCAGTTGGACCCTTGTCCCTTGTGTCATGCCTGTTGGACCCTTGTCACCTCTGTGTCATGCAGTTGGACCCTTGTCACTTTGTGTCATGACAGTTGGACCCTTGTCACCTTGTGTCATACCTGTTGGACCCTTGTCACTGCTGTGTGATGCCTGTTGGACCCTTGTCACCTTGTGTCATGCCTGTTGGACCCTTGTCACCGCTGTGTCATGCCTGTTTCACTCTTGTCACTTTGTGTCATGACAGTTGGACCCTTGTCACGTGTGTCATGCCTGTTGGATCTTTGTCACCTTGTGTCATGACTGTTGGACATTGTCACCTTGTGTCATGACAGTTGGGCCCTTATCACCTTGTGTCATGCCTGTTGGACCTTTGTCACCTTGTGTCATGACTGTTGGACCCTTGACACCTTGTGTCATGACTGTTGTACCCTTGCTCTTGTGTCATGCCTGTTGGACCCTTGTCACCTTGTGTCATGCCTGTTTGACTCTTGTCACCTTGTGTCATGCCTGTTGGACCATTGTCACCTTGTGTCATGACTGTTGGACCCTTGTCACCTTGTGTCATGCCAGTTGGACCCTTGGCACCTTGTGTCATGCCAGTTGGACCCTTGGCACCTTGTGTCATGACTTCTGGACCCTTGGCACGTCTGGTCATGACAGTTGGGCCCTTGTCACCTTGTGTCATGCCTGTTGGACCTTTGTCACCTTGTGTCATGACTGTTGGACCCTTGTCACCTTGTGTCATGACTGTTGGACCCTTGTCACCTTGTGTCATGCCAGTTGGACCCTTGTCACCTTGTGTCATGCCTGTTGGACCTTTGTCACCTTGTGTCATGCCTGTTGGACCCTTGTCACCTTGTGTCATGACTGTTGGACCCTTGTCACCTTGTGTCATGCCTGATGGACCCTTGTCACCTTGTGTCATGCCAGTTGGATCCTTGTCACCTTGTGTCATGACTGTTGGATCCTTGTCACCTTGTGTCATGACTGTTGGACCCTTGTCACCTTGTGTCATGCCAGTTGGACCCTTGTCACCTTGTGTCATGCCTGTTGGACCCTTGTCACCTTGTGTCATGACTGTTGGACCCTTGTCACCTTGTGTCATGCCTGTTGGACCCTTGTCACCTTGTGTCATGACTGTTGGATCCTTGTCACCTTGTGTCATGCCTGTTGGACCTTTGTCACCTTGTGTCATGCCTGTTGGACCCTTGTCACCTTGTGTCATGACTGTTGGACTCTTGTCACCTTGTGTCATGACTGCTGGACCCTTGTCACCTTGTGTCATGCCTGCTGGACCCTTGTCACCTTGTGTCATGCCAGTTGGACCTTTGTCACCTTGTGTCATGCCTGTTGGACCCTTGTCACCTTGTGTCATGACTGTTGGACTCTTGTCACCTTGTGTCATGACTGCTGGACCCTTGTCACCTTGTGTCATGACTGTAGGATCCTTGGTACGTCTGGTCACGTTACTACCTTTGTGTCATACATTTTGGAGTCCTGCCCTCTCTGATCAAGCCTGTTAGACATGTTGTTTCTATCACATTAATTTACCATTTAGACATGCCTAAGCCAGATCATGAAATTAGTGTTTTCAATTTCCAAGAGTAATTTCCAAGACACCATGTTATGAATATGATAGAAGCATTACCCCATCATCCAGTAACGTGGTCACCATGTTTGTTGCCACATTGTGATGAATCGTGAACTTCAGTAGTCTTGACACTATAATTCACACCTACACAATACATCAAGTATTCAAACAACACAAACAACGTGATCCAGCAATTTAAGAAAAAAAACACATCCCTCAGCATGGACGGACATTTGGCTTTCAAATCGATTATGGTGTAATGAGGGTTGTGGCTGGTGTGGAAGCCATGACTTCCTGATTGACAAATTAGACTGCACAAGTTACAAGTCTTGCTTTCAAGAGATTGATTACGTCCTTCCTGCATCGCATCTACATCGGGATGTAGGACATTATTCTTGACAAAAACTGTTCCTTGCACAGGATGAAATGTGAAGGTGCTTCCTCTAACTGTTGCATTTATTTGTCATGAAGATATTTCACCATTGCCAAGTCTATGATTTCTGAAACAATTGCAGTGTAGGA